AACTTTCAATGGCCTCATAGTTATTCCACACTCGCAGGTATCCGATAAATGCAATGCAAATGCATTTAGTGTCAGTTCTCTTCACCAATACGTCTAAGAATGACAATTGTTCGTGGACTTCCTTTTCCATTGTCAAATTGATGGAAGGACTTGATGTGCTTCAGGAAGGTGTCTAGTTCTGCATTTTAAATTTTTCACAGATTCTTTCAGGGTTTTCAAATCAATTTATATCATACTAGACAATGGAAGTCCGCACTAATAAAATGCACCATGAAACATTGTCAACCAATACATTAGGTATGGATTTTCATCAAATATCGGCCATTTCCATCATATACGGGAACAACAACTCGAACACCAACTCGGGCACTGCCACTAAACTTCATGCTCAAGAATAATTTATTGTTTCATTCTAGAAGTCCTCACATCTGGGGGCATTATCAGGATTCCTTTACATTCTCATTGCAAACCAAACATGAAGACAGGAGGGAAGTTTTATTATGTCTAATATAAATATGAAGGAAGTCTTAATTTGTTTTTCATGTAATGAATTTTGATGATGGATTCTAGAATTAAATAATTAATCAATTTCCGAAGGCATGATATCCAGACAGTAGATAAGAATAAACATTATGTTAGTGATTTCTTTATAGATTCCATACCAGCAACCCAGTGCCGGATTAGCCACGTAGCAAAACTAGGAAATGCTACTGGCCCCGCGACCCGAAGGGCCCCGCGATCCAATACCTGTCTGACCGTTGAAAAATATCAATTTAGATAGGAATGTAAAAATATTTTGCTAAGCTATGCTTCACTCCCACCTGAAAATCGAAAACTAGATTTTGTCACGTTAAATCTCATCTGACATCAATCATTTGTATTTATGTAGTATAAAATATATTTATTAGATAGAAAATTGATTAATTAATAGATTTGATACGTTTAATATTTTTTTTAATTTTTCGTAATACTTACTGTTGAGCAGATCCGTTTTGAAAATTGCGTTTCATCACTTTTCGGTTTAATTATAATCGATTACTATAAGATAATATATTCGGTTTCGAATTTTCGGTTTCCCACACAAAATTGCTGATCAGCTGATTAATTTCCTAGGGAAAGACCAAAATTTTGAGACCTTTGTTTCGTGGCGAAGGTTGTTCAACTTCATGGCCCGCAAATATCCTTAAAACATTTGCGCTCAAAAAAGTATGACCTTATATAATATCTAATTTATTTCGAGAAGAAGGCGAAATGTTTTTAACTCAGTCGTAATCTGTGGTTGCTTGATTTTTTATAAAACATACATTAATTTTATAGGTGAATAAAGGAATGTATAGGACCTTTTTTGAATCGATCATCATATCGATCATGTTTCGAGATTATTAAGATCTAGTGACGAAGTGACGGTACTATGCCTATTAATTTTGAGCAAGGTATCGCTTAAAGAAGTCGATAATTTGCCCAAATCAAATCCAGAAAAGTTTCTTCGTTACTGTTTTGTTTTATTTAATACCCTTAACTTGAGAACCTATAGCAAACCAAAGGCTTCTTGACAGAATTGTTACAGGCCCCGCACTGGCTTAATTCGGCACTGCAGCAACCATTGGTTATACTTTCAATACCACAAATATCATCTCTTCGCACTGATACCACAAAGATTTGTATTGACGATGTTATTCTTCCGTTATTCTGCTTGATGACTCCGATAGCGTAGTTAATAAATACTCCTGTGTAGAAAACAGGAAAGTCGGGTTCGAATCCGGGTCAAAATTTGACAAATTAAATTTCAATGTTGTGTTCTTTTTTTTTCAGAATGGAGCATCTGTTGGTTGTCAAATTCTTCATGATAATCTCAGGAACATGGAGAATTCCTTTGAATACTCACTCCCGAACCAAACAGAACCTCTACAACATTTTTTCTGCAACGACGCAGATATACTTATGCGTTTTCGTTCTGTGCCTATTCATTGAACTTCCGCTCATCTGGAATGAAGATGTAAACAAAGTAACAGAAAATATTGGAATAACCATATTGTGTATCATGATTTTCATTAAAAACGTCATTTGTCAACAGAAGAAAGTCCGTGATATATTCGTATACATTCTAGAAACAGAGAAGGGGTTGAATGATTTCGAGAGTGAAAATCTAGAAGTTTACAGATCCAACGCAGTGTACACCAAAAATATAAGCATATTTTTATCCGTCTACTCATCAATGTGTGGTATCACTTTAGTTTTGACTAAGTTTTATGTGTACATTCAACTTAAAAATGCAGCAGCTAGAAACCATATGAATCAAACGTATATTGAACCGCCACTGCCTTACGTCGTCTGGAGACCAGTAGATGAGAAAAAACATTATATTAGTGCTTTCTTTATAGATTCCATATCAGCAACCATTGGTTGTACTTTTAATACGACAACTCAACTCATTTTCATATCTGTCATGACTTTTTTAATAGGTCAACTGAAAATACTTCAGAATCGCTTCAGGAACTTTGGACAGGCGTTGCAGGAGAAAATGACGACAACTGAATTATCTGGAAAATTGAGACTCCTCATTATACATCATAAACGGATCATAACGTAAATAATTAGTTTTTTTTATTAAGTGCTCAGTTAGACACTGTCGATTAATTCCTAGTTATGTTAGTTATCAAAAAGAATAATCAAAACCGCTCGATGATAGACATAATCTGTGGAAAACGTCTACATGATGACATCAGTCGCATTTATTATCAAACACTGGATATTCCACAACATTAGTTCACTTGTAATTTCCAAAGGCTCGAAATTTTCCAATATATCCTTTAAAGCATCAATTCATTCATGAATGAAATGTGAAACTGAAACCTCTGGCGTAAAATTATTCAAAAACAAGCACTTTCCTCGAACCCTAGAACTGCAACACTCTACTCCACGGGCGAGCAAGTAGGATAAATTGGGATGCACGATTAGTACAAGAAAATTGGTCACTACGACCAGAAAATTGAAAAAAAACAAGTTCCATCTGTATGACATTTGGTTAGTACAAAAACTAAATAATAAGTTAATTGTTACTTGCATTATGACGTTTTCAAGTAAAAGCCATTCAATTCAATCATGTTTTTAGTATATCAAAGCTCTAGATCTCAAAAACAGCTGGAGTGAATAAAAAAATCAGCAATGAATACACAAGGTCGAAGCCTTTTCTCAGAAAGATATCACCCATTCCTATTTCGTTAAAAATTTGATATAACCCCGCTTTGGATCAAAAGCACTCCACCTTATAAATAATCTTGACGTGACTTTGGATTTTTGACACTTTCTGACAGTTATGGCCTGCGCTAGGTTTTCGTTAGCTTGCATGGCAAGAAAATTTAGACAACTTGTAAGATAGGATAAAAGCAAACAATATGGCTGGAAGCAAATATAACCGTGTCGAATTTCAAGAGAATGTGAATATCAATCATCATCTCTGAAACAATGTGAAGCTAGGTATTGCTTCCTTCGACTTCCAGAACCTGACATACCAAATTTTGAGATGGTCATATAAATCTCACAAACGAACTCTGTAAATGCTACCAAATATTTCTTGTGTGAATGATTATTGTCTACGTCGTCGTGTGACCTGATATTTTGACAATACCTGATATAGATTCTTACTGAACTCTTGTTATGAGTGATAAACACCCCGCAGTGAGGGAAGGGGTTGGAATATCCCTGCCAGGTAACGTGTCACCTGTGAAGGTAAAAGTTCTTCTGAATGACGTCACTTCCCAAGGTGTATCCGTGCCGGTAGGATTCATGGTTTTGACTCCAAACAAAGCCACTAACGGAACCTTGGAGTAACGGGCGCGTTGAAGAAATGCGGGGCCCTGTTGCTGTGAAATTTCTTCCCCAAGCTACTTGTGAGATCCTCATGAACTATTTAACAGAATATTACTGGAGTTCAGTCCCAACACCAATCGGTCATTTTCAACACTTCGACACGTGTTTCAATCACTAAGAGAAAAAAGAATCTTTCTTTCGAAGATAGTTTGGTGTTGGGATGGAATTTCAGTAATATTCATTACTACACCAAAGGTTACAAACAGTGCATCACAAGTACATGTAACAGAACCAAATGAGAAAAAGCTTCTCAGTTCTCCAGCTTTTGAGACGAATTTACAGAGGAGAAGAAAGTAGACCACACTTCTCCAGTGTCTACCCTGTAACATCAGGGGTTTGTTAGTTCTCCAACTTCTTCTCCTGTTAACAAACCTAGGAGGCTAAAAGATGCAGCCAGAAAGCAGCCCATCGATTCGCCATTTTTTGGCGAATCGATGCAAAAATAAACTCTGCATATGGAGAGAAAATAGTCTCCGCCCAAGCGAGTTCTGTTATCAGCAATAGCTGACATACAAATGTCTTTATATGGAGAGATTTCTGCGGGCATCAAGGTGGAAATCATGTACCTTGAATATAATATTCGAAGTCATACATTTTTGTTGCTTACTTACCTGACAAAGGTAGTGGAGAATCAAATAGACTCATTTCAGACCTACCTGAGTAACCATAAAAATGTACCTGATCCCTTCAGTTTGAATTGTTATATGACATTCATTTTTCATTGGGTTGGAAGTATTAAGCGCTGATTGATTTTCAATAGACGAATTGGAATAAGTAGTGATGCGCTTATAAATTGGAACGTTGCTATAAAAAGTCTGGAGGGCTTGAGCATCTGAATGTTCTATTTGCTAATTTTATGTTGAATAACGCCTTGTCAATTGATATAAAATTGAGTTACTTGAATTCAATTTACAGTTTCACAGCCAGTTTTGGAAATTGTTCAATACCTGTGAGCTTTATCTCAAAAATAAATATTTTCAAGTTTTGCAAATACTGCAAAAATGTTTTCAACTTTTTTTAACTTCGTAACATCACTAATAGTCAATTCATCGGTTCTATTTCGAGCGGTTTTTCACGTCATTGAGTCTAGTCATAGCAATCTAATGTGATTTATATTTTAATAGGCTTGTAGAAGATTTAGATGAAAGCATGAAATTTCCTATGCTTTTGGAGTTCACTATCAACTCCATTCAGATCACATCTCTAATGTTCCAATTTATAACAGTAAGTTATTTAATTTTTTCACTTTCTTTCAATTACACAACCGAAATAGGTGTCCAAATTAGTACATTTTTGAAAATAATGTAAAATTGACTCTATTTTATTCTTGAAATACTTGAAATAGATGAACCATTTGAAACAAGTTGAACTTTAACTGTTTTCAAGGAATCTTATTGGATCAATTTGCTCCCCATTCTTGATGATAAAAACATTATGAGGCTGCCAGATCCTAGGCATGAAAAAATTAATAATAATTTCAATGAGACTTTCATGCAATCTTGATCATCTGGAATCTCGAAGGAATGTGATTGAGAAAAATGGTCACTTTGAACTTACTCAATACTGATATTCGAATATGAAAACAATCACACCATGTTCAAACATCTCAAAGAAAACTACGAGAAACTATAATTGTTCCTAGGTGGCTCGAATAGCTATCAACATATGTTTCATAGAACACAAGGCCATTGAGCTATGAGCCTTTTACACGAAAAGACTATTAGATGTTTATGATCTAGCCTTATTACTACTACCGATGTGGAATTAAAGTATTGTGGCAAGACAGATTATAGTAATATATAATATTCATATTAGATAATTAGCATGATTATATATAATCACAGTTAATTTTACTATCACTTGGTTCTGAGTAATAAATGTTTTGAAGTAAAAAATATACAGCTGAATCGCTAGATCCGATTGAAAACGCTGCTATTCTGAGTACTATCCTTGTTCCTCATATAGATAGTATACTCACCTTCTATTTCCTAAATTCGATTATTTCATTCTTTTTTCACTTTCAGATGGATATTGACCCGATATTGATATTTAGAATAACATATAGCAGCTTGATGATAATACAAACGTTTCTGTTAGCATGGCATGCCAATGAAATTACAGAACAGGTAAAATATATCTAAACTAAACCATGAAGTGATAATTATTTTTCAATTATACGTATAGTAAACTGAAAACAAATATGAGACATGCTAAATAATGTTGCTATCTCATTCTAGTTTGAAGGCCGTTGTATTTTGGAACTGCATCCTAACCTAACGTTTCGCCACCACGAGTGGCTGGCTTCTTCAGAGATTTATTAATTTTGATGATTTACCGATGACTCATCAAGATGAATAAACCTCTGAAGAAGTCAGCCATTCGTGCTGACGAAACGTTAGGATGCAGTTCCAAACTACGACGGCCTTCAAACCTGAATGAAGATATTAACACTAAAAATATCGGCCGCAAAATTTATGGCGAATAATATTTTGAAACATAAGTTTTCTTCGAAGTTTTATTGATTTTATTTTTTTGAAGATTTTTTCATCAAATGTAGTTGTTAAATTCAAATATTGTTTGTAATAATGTTGAAAATATCGTTTATAAAATTGTAAGAGTATTTGTATAATTTTGACTTGAAGTTAGATGATTTCCTTCATCAAAATGCAAAAGGTAGGAAATTTTTATTTGTGAAATTATAAAACAACGATAAAAATAAAAACAACAATAAATAATTGGCGCTCCTGGGCGAGTTCATTGATTCCAGTGGCGCATTTGCTTTTTCAGTTGCAGGAAAACCCGGAAAAACCTGCAGGTAGGAATATATTTCACCGATATCAATCATCTTATAGTGCAAATATAATCCAAGTCAGTTGTCTCTGGACCACAAACAAAAATTGGTTTATACTAGAACTATTGTACCTACTTTTCGGAATCCAATTACTTATATTTATGATGAACATCCTCAATATTCCAGAGCCTGCTCATTTCTCAAGCAATCTATGAAAGTAGATGGTATGAATTACACACAGGACTCCAAAGAATTTTGCACCTAGTTATGATCAGAGCTCAGAGACCGCTTACTCTATCCATCGGACCGTTTTTCACTCTGACGAATGGAACTGCTGTTACGGTAAGATTTGATAATGCATTGAAATGAATAAGAATTCAATTGGAAATGTGTTGAAAAAATTGGGTGTTGTTTTAAAAATTTTATTAGTGTTCATTTTGTAACTCATATCATTTTCGACAACTATCCACTCATTGTTTTCGCCACTATTAGTCTGTTTGAATGTTTGAGCTTATTTTTGACCAAATGAGTGAATGTACTGTCGTGATTTTAAATTCAATAAAATAAAATCATAAAGAATTCAAAATCAGGTGAAAAATTTTAATATCAGTTTGGAATTCTCAGAATCCAATTGGGACAATCGTTTGATCATCCTGTATAAATATAGTGAAACCAAATTCAATATTTGATAGCTCAATTGACCGGTAAAATTCAAGGAATTGATTTTAAATAATGAATGTGAGAAATAGGCAATAAACATGTAACGAAAAAGAAATTAAATGGATAGTAATCAAACCAGAGGAGCAATTAAATAACAAAATAAAAATAAATAATAAGTCATTCTCAAATTATTTGAAATAATAACAACATTGAGGAAGTTTGACATTCAACTATTTCAATACATGATATGATTTTAGAAGTAAAGAAAATACCAAAGACTGAATCAATGAATAAAATGATAATCTCAGAATTTAGAACTTTAGAAAGATGTTAATAGTATTTTCTAAGACTCAGTTATTAGTTTGTAATAAATTGCCAAACATGAGTAAGAACATATTTGATATTGTTGCTAGGAAACAGAGACATTCAGAAGCGGTATAAGAGAAAGTAAAATAATGATTATGAAGTGCTTTTGGAGAGAGTAAGAGGATAATTACCTCATATTAATTCATAAAACACATTCCTTGGGGAAAGAAGTTGATCCAGGTGAATTACACAAAATGGCAGATTCCGAAGAGGAGCTTCATGAAGAGAACTTATTAAATTCACCTACACCGAATGCGTATATTTTTTAAACGCCAGTCTTCATGTCAAATCTTCTAAACGTCTGATAATCCATTTCGCAATTTGTTCAAATGGGTCAATCCTATGTTGAAATTAGGATCATGGGGTATATGTATAGTATAGTTTATTTTTTATCCATGTTGGTTGAATTTTCATTTGTTTCAGACAATGAAGGCAGCATATTCATATCTGACTATTCTGAAGAGAAAATACTCAACTCATCAGTAAACTTCCGCACATTACGCAGAACTATTCCAAAGATGCTCAGAATGACAATGTAAACTTACAATTGAAGGCACCAATAAATCCACGAAAGGTTCCATGTATTATCATAAAATAATATATCATTTAATGAGCGAAAACTATGTCCCTTACTCGTGTAAATGTAGTTTGTAGTAAATCCTTTGAAGGAAAAATGGCCATTTCGCGACTAGAATACTATACTTTTCCAGTTACTTATGGCAGGTATATTTCAAAATAAGATTCACTTGTATTCGGTGGAGAATATAGTATATTCGTGTATTACTAAAATTAAAAAAAGTCGGCTTCTTGTTTGAAATTGATAATTATATATCTCATATTGTTTCATTTCAGTTTCATTTATTCTCAATTATGATACTTACTATCAGAATGGGAACTGCTAATACGTCCGTTGAAATCTATGCAAAATAAAATAAATGTATATACAAATCATAGTTTCGTTATCCCACTTCCAATTCATATATCAATAAGTCCTGTGGAAAATGAAAATACGTACATTTATTCACTCTGTTATCAACATTCATCTCTGAAATCGAAGGCCATCGAAAGCATCGATAAATATCATAACAGAGAATCGAAGAATCTCATTACCAATAAAATCATTATAAGTTATGGAAAACAAACAATTTTACATGGGTGTATCTGAAAACTAGTTAATAAAAATTGAAAAAAACAGATGATAACCTGATAAACGTCTTCTTTCTCCAAATTAAAATGTATTGATGAATATGATGAATTTTTTGAAGTAAATAGATTTTAGTTTCTGAAGAAAAAATAATCTTCCACTAACTACATTTTGATTAACAGCATTTTTTATATTTTTTGTATTTCAAATTGATGTATAAAACCAGTCATATGATATTCCGATTATATCGACCCAAAAATATATGTTCTTATTCATTATTTGTGTTGTATCATGGAAATTTGAGAAAGATAATATGGCTCTTTCATGGTTTTTCACCTGAAAGATCAAAATAACAATATTAGCATGTATTCTGGTGAATTTCAATTGTATTGATTCTTTTAAGGATTTCAAATCAATTTAGATCATATTAGACAATGGAAGTCCGAAATAATGAAATTCACCATGAAACATTGTTAACTAACTTCAAGCAGCCTGTATTAAGCTATTTTTATTTTTAAAATCTCACATCTGAAATATCAGAACAATCATTCAACCGGAAACACTTCGTTGATATTTGATGAATATTGAAATAATGATGACTGGTGTCCTACGAATTTGTATGATACATTATTTGAATCTGAAGCAATGACCGTTTTTTTTTTCAATTAATATAATGTCTTTCAAATCACTAAAAATATTCGACATCATTCATGTTCATCCAAATTCATAGAAACCAACTAGGATTCGCAATGATATAGGAAAAAGTTCATTTGATCTTCTAGAACAGAACTTATCAATGAGGGGTCCAAGGATCCAATTATTTCTTCTTGAATTTTCAATGAGCTTGAAATTTCTTCAACTTCACAGTAGAAAAAATGGAAATGTTGCGATAATATCATATAGAAAGGTGAGTACATTGCTAAGACGTTTTTCCTCAAATATTTGCCCTTTCAATTATTTTTGTTCAGCGCGGATGTCAAATTTTTCAATCATCCCATAACGATGCACACTCAGAGCTGTTTTATTAGTTTTCCTCTGACTTGAATCTGAACATTTGTTTTCAAATGGTATCATAATGATGAACAGCAATGGATTTATCCATGGTGTTTCATCTTTCAACTAGGGATAAAAACTATTGCTCTGATATAAAATGATAACTGTAACAACAGAAGTGACTTTTCTTCCAAATCTTCGTGAGAGTAACTGAAAAACAAAACCTCATATGGTACATATACTATAATAATCGTCTTGAGTTTCAACAATATCCTTAAATTATCATTAGACTGTTTCATAAAGTTTGTCCGTTTTATGGAGCTCTGTTACGCCAGCGACGCAAAGTACGGAAATCGCATTTAGAAAATGCCACAATTAGGTGCTTTTTAGGTACCGGAGTCAAAAATTAGGTGCTCTGTAACACACCGCATTTCAATACTCAAAGTTGCGTTGCTAGCATTACATAATGCATATGAAAACAATAATAAAATAATGAATGTTGAGGAAACACTATTAGGTGCTTATTAAGTGCTAAACGGTGAGAATCGTAACATTTTCTAATTAATAAACAAAAGCTTCCAATTTCACTAAACAACAGATCTAAGAATCAGGTCTCTCGAAAACGAGGACAAATGCTCAATCAGATATAATCTAAGCGTGGTAATAAAGTGCTAATTAGGTGCTTGCAAGAAATTAATATGAAAACGACCGTGAATAAGCAGAAAAAAAATTCGAGATACTTGATTTGGGAAAAAGATTGTCTATGTATGAGTTCAGGAGCATTTCTAGACTTTATTGTATATTGTTAATTTTTTTCTCAAATCAGGTATCCCAATTTTTTTCCGCTTACTCATGGTCGTTTTCATCTTGATTTCTTGCAAGCACCTAATTAGCACCTTATTACCACGCTTAGTTTATACCTGATTAAGCATTCGTCCTCGTTTTCGAAAGACCTGATTCTTAGATCTGTTGTTTAGCGAAATTGGAAGCTTTTGTGTATCAATTCGAAAATTTCACGATCCTCACCGTTCAGCACTTAATTAGTACCTAATAGTGTTTCCTTAACATTCATTATTTCATTATTATTTTCATTGCGTTGCTGGCATTACATAATGCTAGCAACGCAACTTTGAGTGTTGAGTTGCGGTGTAAGTTACAGAGCACCTAATTTTTGACTTCGGTTCCTAAAAAGTACCTAATTTTGGCAATTTGTATATGCGATTTCCGTACTTTGCGTCGCTGGCGTAACAGAGCTGTTTTATTGTCATGTATTTTTGTAGTTCCATATCTTAATGAATATTTATTCTACTGTGTCGAGGTACATATTGATAGAAAATTCCATACTCTTTACTTTGATGCTGTTAATTTTTTTCCAAATTTAATTTTTTTGCCTCTCTTCACCCTATCACTATATGATGTCGTTAAGCAAATGTCTGCTATTTTTGTCTATGAATTCAAATCACACTGTTTCCTATGGCACTTACGCATGCAATAAGAGTAACATTAATGCCTCTCTCCCCTGAAGTTGCGCTTCCAACCTGCTTCACTCTTTTACAGACTAAAATCTCATCCAAAATCGAGAACAAAATTAATAATAGACTGAAAATTTTCTGAAGATTTCAAAAACAAGAATGTATGGAAACTACGTAAAATTTACCTGGCATATGAACTTTTGTGTTTCCGCTTTCATCCAAATTGTAGATTTTGTCAGCGGTAAACTGGTATTTTTCTTAATACCACTGTTTTCCTGCCCGACCTTTGTTTTCCCTGGAAGCAGGAATAGATTCATTGTTTATATTTGCAAAATCGTAGGCAAGAATCTGAAGATCTCGACGAGTAAGGCCATAATGCATATGAGATGCTGCAACAATATACTCGCATAAGCTTTTTTTCTCCAGCGTCCAAAATATTTTTTTGGACATCACAATTTTTAATTGATTCGTGAGGCACATTTTGATAAGTTTTAATAAATATATTTTTAATGTAGATCGGGACACTCGTCTTTAGAAGCAGTACGCAATGAAATATTATTATTTCGTACAGCATTTGCTGCATATTGTAACGCATGAAGATCGGGGCAATTTCTTTTTTACCCTGTTTATTTCTTGGCATCTAAAACAATAAATTCTTAGAATTATAAAAACGAAACAAAACAAATTAACATAGGGCTTGTACCTTGGGCCATGGTCCAACGTATAAGACAAATCAATGGTCCAAGGTACAAGCCTATTTACTTTAACAAAGAATTATCTATTTAACCTACAAAAAGTAAAAATAAATTGATGAATATTATCAAAATAATTTGTCTACATATATGACTTCAACATAAGGCATGCGGCAATTTAATTCATGTACTGTAAAAATTAATAGAAAACATTAAAACTTTTATAGGTGAATAGAACGTGCACTCGCTCAGAAGACGAACCGTTTAACATAGATTAGTGAAGTCACCTGTCACGCCGTTGATGGTGGATAATATCGACTGTCAAGCAAAATTGACTGAGATTTACGCGGTACTTTAGAAATTTTAACAATGGTTCAAGGTACAAGGTGGTTCAAGGTACAAGCTTTTCCCCTATATATTGTATTCCCCTAACATAAACTGAATTAGTTTCTTTGAGAAACTAAGATTATTAATTCTTATCATCAAGAATGACATAGAAATTAGTGAAAATTTAATTTTCTAGCTGATTTATCACTTACTTGGGTACCAGTGATCTGTTTGTGGCATTCGTCTGTCCTGATATTCTCCCTGAAATTAAAAAAAATGGAATTTCATCGAATGCAATTTTGAAACCAAAAAACTATACTATAAAAAAAGAACAAAACCATCGGAGTGCTTGGAAAGATGGTAGTCGGTTGGCGAGAGGTCTAGCGAATATGGTGGATAAGGCAGAACTTCGATGCTCATCAATTCGTTTAATTTTCGTCATCACTTGTGACAATCCGATCCAAAAATGGATCGTTTTTGTTGCGCAAAGGCAAAGAAAAAGAGACCTTGAAACGTTACAATATCTGCCGATCTGTGATGTTCCAGAATGATACAGAGCCTATTCTAGAATATTGCAGGATTTTCNGGAAAACTATAGCCAAACTTAAAATTACAGCAGCCGCTGTCACCATTTGGAATTTAGATATGGAGAATGATACTTACTTAAGAACTATCTTAGACGTTACCTGAAGAAGTGATCACCCTCCAAAGGTTTGACTTAGTTTCTCTTTATCAAATAGGCACTGTTTTAGAGTAGAAAATGTTTTCCTAGGGAGTTCCCTTATTTATGTGAGATATGAATCTACTACGATCCCCTTTTCCCCTGTTTCTCCTACCAGTATAATTACCGGCAATAATACACCGTATTCAAACGCAATAAGTATAATAAAAAATAAGAAATGTAAAAGTTACAAATAAGATGTGAACGATAAAATGAACAGAAAAAAATCAAACCATCAAACAGAACACATTAACCTTACCAGACCATAAGAGAATGCTCAACCTGCATTCGATTGATTATTCATAAACATGCCCTTTAATCGGCAACTCTATATGAGCCAAGCTATTCAAATAAATGTTCACCTACAGTATTTCAATAGAAGTACATGGTTAGCCACCAGACGAAAAAAACCCTAAAATTTTCTTACCAATAGTTTTCTTCCTCGGTTCAACTGAAGATAGCGGAAAAGAAAGAAAAGTCGGGTTTTTCCCAAACTCCCAAAAGTACCTCGTATATCGCACTATTCGAATAACTCGTGATTGAACTCTCGTTTGCCCTTTTCTTTCGAATACATTATTAGTTTTCAGACTTTATCTCCCCTTAAAATTTTCTTTTAATTTTTTGCACCCAAGTCGACCTTTCGAAGTCCAAAAACCCCCGACGGACACTTCTCAACTTCCCAAAAAAACCCACTCTCTCGCGTTCCATTTCCCGTGAGCNAGGTACAAGCCTATTTACTTTAACAAAGAATTATCTATTTAACCTACAAAAAGTAAAAACAAATTGATGAATATTATCATAATAATTTGTCTACATACATGACTTCAACATAAGGCATGCGGCAATTTAATTCATGTACTGTAAAAATTAATAGAAAACATTAAAACCTCGTCAAAATACTTACTTTTATAGGTGAATAGAACGTGTACTCACTCAGAAGACGAACCGTTTAACATAGATTACGGAAGTCATCTGTCACGCCGTTGGTGGTGGATGAAATTTCAACAATGGTTCAAGGTACAAGGTGACTCAAGGTACAAGCTTTTCCCCTATATATTGTATTCCCCTAACATAAACTGAATTAGTTTCTTTGAGAAACTAAGATTATTAATTCTTATCATCAAGAATGACATAGAAATTAGTGAAAATTTAATTTTCTAGCTGATTTATCACTTACTTGGGTACCAGTGATCTGTTTGTGGCATTCGTCTGTCCTGATATTCTCCCTGAAATTAAATAATTTGGAATTTCATCGAATGCAATTTTGAAACCAAAAAACTATAATATTAAAAAAGAATAGATCAGTGCCAGTTACTGTTTGCACAATTTCCGGTACATTTAGACGATTCCCTCACAATAGGACTCTGTGTGATAGTTTGGCCTGGTTGCAGCTATAGTGAATCACACTAGCTGATCATCTCCATACAGTAACCATGGTCTTTTTTGGTGGGTTTTCGACTTTGGGAAGTTCCTGTCCTGAACATCTTCTGTTGTAGAGAATCCACTTTTCATCACATGTGACAATCCGATCCAAAAACGGATCGTTTTTGTTGCGCAAAGGCAAAGAAAAGGAGACCTTGAAACGTTACAATATCTGCCGATCTGTGATGTTCCAGAATGATACAGAGCCTATTCTAGAATATTGCAGGATATTCTGGAATGATGTGTAATGATCTCAAATGCTCCGAACTATTTTATAAACTTTCAGAAGACAGAAATTGTAGCTCTTATATCTTTAAAAGTATGAGCAAAAACATAGAGAACTTCGACAACAACTGGCATGTTTCTCTCGAACGTTCCAGATTATTCCTGAACATTCCATCATATTCCAGAATGTTTCGAAATGTTCTGGAATGTTGTGAAATGCTCTCAAACACTTCCGGGAGTTCTAACTGTTCTAGAACTTCCTAGAGAGCGAAAATTACAACCTTTATATTTCCAAAAATACATCCTTCATGAAAATCAGCGAAGCTGAGTCGTATCGCTAGTAGAATATAATTTCAGAAATTATTTTTACCTGGACTCGGTTGGTTGACAGTTGGCCATGGAATATCTTCTTCTCTGGCTGACTTATCTGTTTTCTGTAGAGTTATATAAACTGCGGGTTTATCAGCATGAGGAGTAGGAGGACGCTCAGTAGCCAACTGCTTCAGTTGCTGATCATCTCTAGCTTTATACATCTGAAACGAAAGTATAAGACACTTCCAAATATACACATACCATAATAATCAGGAAAATTCAATTTAATGAGCTTTGCACAGATACAAGGAAAGCAGGCTATATTTTTCATTACACTCAAAAACTGTTTGAATGTTGTTAGTTATCATATCAACCATCTCAATTTCAATATCTCTGCATTTTCGGAAACCATTATTGTTCAACGGTATATAGGTCAATCTTTCTCATTGAGGTTTCAGGAACACCATCTAGAAATGGCCTCTGATCTCAATAGCCGTGATATCAGACCTCTATTCCAACCATTAGATTTAAAATCATGTTTTATTGATATGCAAGTTCTTGTCCTGAAGAATAAAATAATTCGTATATTTATTAATTTCTATTGACGTGGATAATACCCTCTGGTTTTATTTTAAACTTGCAATGAATTTGTAACCACATACGATGGGTTTGAATTATATATTTATAGGGAAAGACACTTTCTGATAGGAATATTTATCTCCCAAACGAAGCCGCCAGTGTAGCTATGCTAGGCCTTACAGGTGCTTTGTCGGGATATGTCATTGATACCTCTTGCATGAACTTCTCCTAGAGAGTGCCTCATTTATGTGAGATATGAAAATACTACGTCCCCCTTTTCCCCTGTTTCTCCTACCAATATAATTACCGGCAATAATACACCGTATTGAAACTCAATGAGTATAATAAAAAAATAAGAAATGTAAAAGTTACAAATAAGATGTAAACGACAAAATGAACAGAAAAAAACCAAACCATCAAACGGAACACATTAACCTTACCAGATTATAAGAGAATGCTCAACCGGCATTCGATTGATTATTCATAAACATGTCCTTTATTCGGCAACTCTATATGAGCCAAGCTATTCAAATAAATGTTCACCCACAGTATTTCAATAGAAGTACATGGTTAGCCACCAGACGAAAAAAACCCTAAAATTTTCTTACCAATAGTTTTCTTCCTCGGTTTAACTGAAGATAGCGGCTAATCCTGTTTTTTTAAGGAAAAGAAAGATAATCCGGGTTTTTCCCAAACTCCCAAAAGTACCTCGTATATCGCACTATTCGAATAACTCGCGATTGAACTCTCGTTTGCCCCTTTCTTTCGAATACTTCATTAGTTTTCAGACTTAATCTCCCCTTAAAATTTTCTTCTAATTCTTTGCACCCAAGTCGACCTTTCGAAGACCAAAAACCCTCGACGGACACTTCTCAACTTCCCAAAAAAAACCCACTCTCTCGCGTTCCATTTCCCATGAGCCATTTTTTTCCTAAGTCAGCGGATATTTCCCTTCTTGAAATTAAATGAAATAGTACAGCCCATACATCCAATCTGAAAATTCTATTCTATTACTTAGGTCTTTCGGTCGCTTCGCGATTCGTTATTTCGCTTATCGCTGACTTTTCGAAAAAACCCAACTGTGTTTCATAAACAAAGTGTCTCCAGCTATCAATAATAATGAGTTTGTTCGTCTGGCCCTTACAAAATAACTATGAATAAAACCCACTGTATCTTGTGGTTAAGAAATATGCCTTTAGCACATACAAATCATATATACATCCGTTCAGTAAGATATCGTTTTCTTTTGGAAATCTTCCGACATTTCTCGATTCCCCATGAACTTTAATTATTCCCATTTAAACAAATATATGAGACCACAAAAATTAAAAATAAAATACAGGGCTTCTTCTCATACGGCGAAATGTTACAAATTGATCGAAGGCAACGAAGTGAATGTCTTGAAGACGGACATTTTGCGATGAAAACTTGATCAGATATAAGCAATTGAACATTCAAAATGGCCGAAATTTCAAATATTTATCTTTTAGCCAAAATTGGAACTATGGGGCTGAAATTTGGCATGGATGTGTCTTTTGGTGCTTTTTACTCACAGAAAAGTCTTTGTGAAAGAAATCAAGCACGAGAATCAAAAAATGAGCAAAATGTGTCATTGAAATTGACGTCCTGGACGCATCCTAGTTGGGTGACTTTTTTCATCGAGACCTAAAGCAATACCTTCAAAACGATGTATTGACTTTCAATTTTATCACCCTCATGTGCTTTTGCACATAATTTCGCGAATCTTTAAGATTTCGATTTGTCACAAACATATTCTTATGGCTAGTAAAAAAAATAATGTCCTTGCTCACCCGGACCCTTGCCACGATTAACGCTGTCAATAAATGCATAGGAATGTGGGCAAAAAATTGATCAAATGTGATTGCACATCAACAGTATCTGCAATAAAGACAAATTTCTTCTCTTGCGAAGTGAAATTCCATTTTCGGTCTTTTTCATAAGAAACGTAAAGTTTTCTTCGAGAACTTGAAAAATTGAATTACAGATTCTTGAAATATGTCTTACCCTTCCGTCGGTACCTCTAACATGCGTGTCCTCTACAGGAGCTATTTCAGGGCCCCACTGCTCCAAGAAGTGACCCAGTCTAGTCACTCTTTGTTGGGGAGTGGTAACAGTGTGACTTCCACCGCAGTATCGGTTACATACATGATCAGGACTACAGAAAATATATGTTAAAAAAGAGTGGAAGAATACAATATCAAAATTGATATATACCTCTTTGCCGATCGACTGGTTTGCAATGCGTTTTCGAATGTATTCATGTTTTTGCTACTTGGTAAACTAAAACAAAAAGAATCTGTTGGTAGCCAATAATAATAATAAAATTATCAACAACTGAAAACTTATATTGAGTAGAGAAATTATTGATAGGCATCTGGTTCGTTTTATCAATGAACCACTCGACCATTACAATTATTCGACTAGTTCACTTTGCCTGTTATCACTGCCATGACTGACGCTGAACTGACTGTACTGCCAACTACAAATCAAGTTGAACTTCAAAAGGGAAAATACTTTTGTTTGTTTAGAAAACTCAAATAAAAATATTGGGGTCACAATCACAATATTAATTACATCTGCCTTGGTTTCAAAAACTCTAGACCATTAATAAAATAATAATAACAATTCTAAGTCAGAGAAAACTTCTGATGCATCAATATGCTGTAAACGCAAATAAAATGAAATATTTACCATTTTTGTTGTTTTCGAAGCTGATCCAACTCGTACGCCAAATAAGGTCCCATGCTTCTTGAAGGTGGTACGGCATAGGGTTTGGGATAAAGGGTAGGATCCATCTCTTTTCTCATCACCACATCCTTATCACACGAAATGCAGTTAACGTTTCTGAAAAATAAGTCAGTATTTATGTCTTCACTGAGAGTCCTTTTTGAGCTAGCATCTAAATAAAATATATGTGTAGATGTACCCTGAGTTGGGCTATCTATCGGGCGCGTCCCCAGGTGGCGGAAGCTGTCCGGGAAGCTAATATGTGGCCTTACGGACGGCATCGCTGGACTCCTACCTCATTGTAATCAGCCTTCCTCTGATAATGCGGGGCTCTACCAGAGGTGACCAACTCTTCCCTTGCTACTCGTGTGAAAACACATGAATGAAACAAACAAAACATAAAGAAACAAAAACCAATCCCGAGGCTGGACAGAAGTGCTCACCTCAATCTATGGCGGTGGCTGGGGATGGACAGAAATGTCCATCGCAATTTACCGCTCGGAATGAGACTTAACATAGCATATCACCTCGTGATGTAGTACAAAGGCGGCGCATTTGCGGCGCCGAGGCCAAAGGGAGAAAGAGAGTGAAATATGCATGAGTGTCAGTCACTGTAAGTGCACCCTCCTCCTCCTCCACTCCACCTCCAACAGCAAGGGCACTTCCTGCGGCAGGCGCCAAGTTCTCCGCCTTGAATAAAGGCAAGGAACCGGCTGCCCCTTCAGGAATGCGCCCTCACTTGAACACCTCCACTAGGGGAACCACAGGAAGGTTGAAGAAGCCGCGCAACGACAATAATGTCGCTTCACCTTCCAAAACCTTCGTGGAGGCCGCCGTGAGATACCTCAAGGTTGCCAAAGTATGTGTGTGTTCGGCGAGTCTTGGCCTACACCTGCCAATATAAAGGAGATAACTCCTAGTGACCTGTCCACCTTCCTGGAAAGGGCAGGATGGACGATGACCTAGGAGGACAACTCCTCGGGAGGATGTAGAATGGGTCACGTGTGGCCTCACCCTCACCCTCCCTACTATATACATACATACATACATACATATGTGTAGATGTCAGTCAAAGAAGTTTATAGTGAAGGAAAGCAATCGTAAATTATAAATTGCAAACTCACTCAAAAGGTCAGTTTTCAAGGCATTTTAAATCCGTAAATTTACTCACTTAAGATATTTACTCTTTGTGCCGGCGGCCTCGTTTTCTCGCTTCATAGCATTAAGCGTCTTGAATTTCTCTTGTAGCCCTTTCAGTTTATTATTAATGAAATCTCTCAGAGGATTCAGTTCAACTTTATCCAATTTACCGCCGATACTATTCTGTATATTATCCAACGCTTGGTTCCACAGTAATTCCTTGAAACGTAGAAATGTTTTCAAATAAAATTACAGCTGAAAACTGAAATTCAACAATTCCAATTTCAAATATTTGATAATAAGACACTAAATTCCTCATTCATTCATGACCATGATGATGATATATGATATTCATTGATTTTCGACCAACAACATGTACCAGAGTACATGATAAAAATAATAGAGGAAGACTTCGACACATTTGAAAAGTTTTAAAAATATCTGAGGTAACAAACTGAAAACATAATAGTGCTTTGAATGAAGTATCTCTCTTTCAATTTGAATGGTGGTTGCCTTCTTTTCAGGCCGGTGGAATATGATCAATGATTCCTATTTTCTGCATTTTCATTTAAATAGTTGCTTTGAGTGAATATAATGAAAAAATAACTAGGCAATTCATGTCTCCTCGATAATTTCTAATAAAGTTGAATGGGTCGTACAGTAAATTCTTTCTCTTTATGGTATCTGTTCGTTGAATAGTGATTATCAAAATCAATATCCATTTCAACTTTATTGCCTCAAAGCACATCATCTGCTTATATTCCAAAACTATTAGTGGAAATAAATTATTCAACAATAACAAAAGAGAGAGAAGATAGTTTACAAGTAAGAGAGCAACACATAACAAATTCAAAAAAATCAATTGCAATCAGAAATGATTACCGAGTATATACATTATCATGAAAAATGACAATTTGAACCTTCCATGTTTTTATATCATTTGTATTAGTGCAATTTCATCTTACACGGACATTTTCAAACGAAACAATGAACTCAAATTATTAACAATGTACATCGTTATATACATCCTATACAACCACTATCGGTAATGATAGACGTTTCTTAATGACTTTATTACCTGTGTCAATGTGGGTACGCTAATCTAAAAACCAGTGAGTAGACCAGGTTCAACGAGTTTGAAAATGCATTCCTTAGCTTGCAATGTGCTCTAAATAGTGGCAAACAGTCAAAAAACGTAAAAAACTACCAAAATGGACGTTTGAAACGTGCCTAGGTCATAGAAAATCTGAAAAAAATCATGAAGTCGTGTTTCTTTATAAGTTTTCAGAAAAATAGAATAATATTGACTTTTTTTTGCTCATCTCTATTTTTTTTTCACGAGTGAGTGGGTTTTGGGGACGTGTTATTATCACCTATACTTATGAATTTCATCAGAATTCTTCATCAAATAGAAAGCTGGGAAAGAAATGAATAGAAAAAATTCGATTTTTGGCTCCCCAACAAGGAGGAGGCGAGTCACGTGCCCTATGGACCATGTCGAACATGTTTTTTAGACCAATTGACGTATTCCATGGGTAAATTTGGGCATTGAAGATAGGGGGCATTTGACCTATCTCAATACGGAATAACTTTTTTGATTTCTGATTGTTTGTTCTGGGGGTATATAAATCTGTGCGTGAATTTGTGGCTTTGCTTTCTATATTGTGAGCAGACAAAGGTAACGAGAATTCTCTGTGTAACATTGAATTATAAGCTGCTGATTTATGACTGGTGAGATGGAAATAATCACTTGGGATTGTTATGTCCATACAGCTCGGTTCTCTGAATACATTGAACTCAAATTCATTATGACTGTGTGTGATGGTCAGGACTAAGAAATTAATCTGTTTCTCTATCTCTGTTTCGAGTGTGAAATGTATGTTTCTATTGAGATTATTTATAAATGGCATAAATTGGTTCAGATGTCGTATAGTACCTCTGAAACTAGCATATGTCTGCTAAAAGTGGGCTGAGGGATGAGCCCATTGGTGAACTTGAATCCTGTGTATCCAGTTTATTATAGGTACAGTCCTATATCCAAAATCCAGTTCAGCAACCAATTGTACAATATGTTTTTCTGATTGTTTGTTCTGGGGGTATATAAATCTGTGCGTGAATTTGTGGCTTTGCTTTCTATATTGTGAGCAGACAAAGGTAACGAGAATTCTCTGTGTAACATTGAATTATAAGCTGCTGATTTATGACTGGTGAGATGGAAAGAGTCACTTGGGATTGTTATGTCTATACAGCTCGGTTCTCTGGATACAATGAACTCAAATTCATTATGACTGTGTGTGATGGTCAGGACTAAGAAATTAATCTGTTTCTCTATCTCTGTTTCGAGTGTGAAATGTATGTCTCTATTCAGATTATTCATAAATGGCATAAATTGGTTCAGATGTCATATAGTACCTCTGAAACTAGCATATGTCTGCTAAAAGTGGGCTGAGAGATGAGCCCATTGGTAAACTTGAATCCTGTGTATCCAGTTTATTATAGGTACAGTCCAATATCCAAAATCCAGTTCAGCAACCAATTGTACAATATGTTATTAAGAATCATCTGTTATTACCAACATGGTTGTATAGGTATAATGGTGTACATTATTGATTATTCCAGTTGATTTAATCAGTTTTGAAATGTACTTTTTAGGATAAACTGCAGTAAAGTTAGTTACAAATACAAGTGGTATGAGAATTATGAAATCCTGAATAGGAAAACATTAGCATGATGGAAACAATGAATTTTCAGTGGTTAGATATATTTTGATTCGATGCTTAAATCAAATATCGAATTGTTGCTTTTATATTTTATCTTATACTGAATGTTATATAATGATCCCGTCTTCATAAATCGACATTATTCAAATGTTATTTGTATTCTTATTTCTGACAACCAATTCCAAAAGGATTGAGTTAGATTTGTTTGTAATATCTCTATCAGAAGGGACAAGCTAGTTAAGGTTCATGAAGAATGTTATAACATCGATACTCAAACTAGGTGTCATGAATTGATGAATACTCTTTCACAACTAACCTGTTGGGATAATTTGGCCAATGCCTCTTCAAGACTCTTAGACATATCTCCACAGGCTTGATCGAACTGTTCGAAGGAAACTTTCCTATTGATTTGACAAGCATCTGCCTTATCGGCCAAGGCATCCTCTAAATCTTCCCTATCAGCTTTCACGGTTTTCAGGAGTTCAATTTGTTCAACTAAAATCTGATAATACGTAAATATTAATATATAGCTGTTTCGAATCATTTTGGTTTTTTAATACGAGTAAAATACAAAAAAAATAAAAAATGAATATAGATGATGAATCAAAAAAAATCGCTCCAACGAAAACTTGACCAATCTTGTTACTCAGGAACAAGCGTAGGATTAATATTTCCCAATAATTTTTGAATTTCTGTTTCAGTAGGGTCCAACTCCACCCCCTTTTTTTAATCGGATGGTAACCGAGTGATACGTAACACTAGCCAACAAATAAAAAAAAATTGCGACTAATATTATAATGGCTATACATGAGAGTTCAAGCATCCTGGCTGCGACTTCAACATCAAAAATGTTCCATCACGTAAAGATTTTGAGTTATAGTTATTTTTATTTTATACAAAAAATTTCACATATTATGGGGAAATACAAAATCAAAACAAGAAAAAAACCATTATGGAGCAGAACGGCTTTTGAACTTGTTTTAGACGAATTTATCAATGAACGCCATTCGTCCGGACTATGTGCAAATCCTAATTTTTTCATCACACCATTTGGATTTACAAACGCACATTTTATTCTACATAGTAAAAAATGAGGATAGCTCATGGTTATGATTTATGAATATTGTAACTCTGGTTTTTAGGGGCTAGTGAATTCCATTGTTGTAATCTTGACCCTAATAGTTCAGCATTCTCTTTGGACAAGTGGAGGTCCCGAACTAGGTTCGGGATTAAATGGTTGTTCGATTAAATGGGATGTTCTTCCTTCACTCTCGGGAAAATAAGGACAGTCTTTTTCTGGCACATCATGGGAAGCTGCCTGGTCATCATACATTTCCAAATCTTCCTCCCAATTTGCCGGGGCTGTTGGAACTGGTAAACCTTCTCCATAAAGAACCGACCTTCTTGCAGAAGGAATATCCGGATATACAATTTTGTGGGAAAGAAAGTTTTTGGCTTTCCACTACTCCATCTTGAACAAAAAAAATCGTAATTCATGAATGAATTGTGTGTATTTTCTATAATGTTATCCAATTTGGTACTGAAGAGCCTTGGGGCAAGTGTCTTAAGGCGAAACATCGGTGTATACCAGTGGGGGTGACAGTGTTCCATGTATTACCATTCATTCAAAGTAGAACTCATGTGAATGATATGTGATTATTATTCCACAACGAATGTTTGAAATACAAACCGAGTAGAGAAAAGTATCTTCTGTATAATTGAATGTTCATATAGAAGTATTTGTGTCGATAGAATTTTTTTTCTTTCGTGTAATTCAATGTTTATATGAAAGTAGCTGTTTCAGGAGGACTTTCTTTCAGTTTGTGTCTGAACGTTATTTCTTTGCATGATCTACACATCCATGTATATGTTGAAAAATCAGACAGGTTTGTCATGGAAAAGTAAGAGTCGTTGTAATGATTTGTTGTTTCTCACCAAATCATTGGAACTGCAAAGGCATAGAAGGGCGTTTGCCATTCAACCAGTTACTTAGATTTGCTGCACAGGTTTCGCAACACATCCAATCGTGAGGACAACACATCCAAAATACTTATGGTAAGCTACCTTGGTCATTTGATTAATTGGCCGTTTCTGCGATTTAGGAGTCAATTGACCACATATATAGTAAAAACTATCTGCGGGATTAACACAGCCACGTTTCTGTATTTTCGATATTTTTGTACTGTGGCTAACGTCGAGTTCAAATACCTACGTTCAAAGATAACACTAATATAATTCTCTTAATATTCGCGTGTTTGCTCACCTTGCTTCTCTAATACTAACCACCACTACTCGCGTTAAACCAATATTGATAATCCGATTGTAAATCTGCCACTTTTATCTGACCCGTTTGTCCTTTTGGCAAACATCAGTCCAAAGGGTAAGGGGGCCAGGCTCCAACCTGTTTGAAATCAAGACGACGTGCAGCTACTTTTATAGCGTTTCCGTATTTCTGGTATTTTCTGTAAACTTTGAGTATCGGAAGTTCGAGAAGCGGCGTTACTACAAGTCTGATATACAGCGGAAGCAGATTCGGATACTGGGCAGGGCCGATGTGTTGCCAGATTTTAAACAATTGCCTCAATTTAGGGGAGAGGCAAATTTGGAATGTCGTTTTCATTAAATTTCTGTGAAAAAAATCATAACTCAAATATCTTACGTGTTAGGAAATTTATACTATCATTTTCGCATTTAAGGACCAAACATTAACAAAGAACTGCCTTTAGCATTACAGTCGTAAATTGGCTGTAAACTAGTGTAATTTGAAATTTTATTATCGCTGAGAAACAAAAATATCGAATAATAATGTTAATAATAAAAAAAATCTCAAGTTCCTCGCGAAACCTTGATTATTCCAAGAGCTATCGCGTGCCCTATGATACCGTTGAGGGAAAAGCTCTCCTCCCCTATGTTAAAACTGTTACACACCAAATTGTGATTATTTTAGAGAAAAACGACGCGACGTGAAACTAATATTTAGGTCAATGAAAACTATCAGAGATAGTCAGAAACGGAAGCAAATATGTTTTTTCTTGAATAAAACGTTCAAAGATGAATTTCTCTATAAGGAATGAACCAATTTGAAAAAAACAGAATTGATGGAAGTATGATAGACCTCCCAATAATTTAACCCTCTATATGCCTTCGAAACAAATATGGATCGATAGCTGCTGCACGCAAGAGAGTCGAATTAAATATCGAAATTGAACCCCCTCAAAACAAAAATTGACATTGTCATTGAAATTTTTAATCACACATCCATGTATGAGTTACAAGAATATCAACTTTCCGTTGAAACGCCGTGAATATAAATATTTGAGAACGTATAATTTGCTTACGTCAATCGTGTGTTCTTTACTTGAATAATCTTCTGCCAATTTCTGGACAGTTTCTGATACTACAGTGAATTCATCTTGAAGTGTTACGAGTTGACCGTGTAGTTCAGACGTTATATGATTCGGCCTTGTGTCAACTTCCTCCGGCATGCTTCAACATAAAAACCAAATTGATAATTGAAATCACCATGAGTAGAAAGTTTCTTGAGTGTATTGATATGAATCAGAGAGGAAGTTACAGCGGACATAGGGTTGAGAAAAATGAACCTTATAAACACGTTTCAAGCTTGTTACACATCAATGACGTATACGGATAGAAATACTCAATAGCAAAAAGCTCAAATATGAGTATGCTTTTTTGGAGAACTCAATTTTTATACTGTTTCTTTGGGTTTATAACCTTCCACAATCTGAGGCAATAAAAGATAAATCAATAGAGAATCTGCTGAAGTGTAGTAAAGGGCAAACTGAAAAGTTCACCGCGGTAGGTTATAAACCCAAAGTTGGCTTCAGTTGAAATAGTAAATAATAACGGAGATCAGTCCGGAGCTGAAAAAAAGAATATTAATTGATATTATTCAGAGAAGAGGTTATCAAGGAAATATCACAAACATGGGTCACGAGAAACTTCTTTGCTGTATTATATATCTGATTTGTATGACACGCAAAGATATAGCTGTCTCTGGAATGGCGTTACACTTGTTGCCTTATATTCGAAAGATCTTTATGGAATCAAGCCCTTATATACGAATGTAGGCCTATATATGTAAGCCCTTGCAACTGTTTCCAATTCATACAATTCTTTATAGTATTACTGACGAAGATCAACTATATATACCTACATAGTGTACTCTCCTATCTCTATTTTTGCTATGACTAATGGTTTTCTTGGACTATTGTTCACTCTCAATAATAAAAGTACTGGAAAAAATATTCGATCAATTCGAAGTTTCTGTATGTTGTTCATCAATGGCGAGTGCAATGCTCTAATCATGTTGAAAAGTATCTACTATTTTTGAGGTGAATGTGGTTTTCGACGAATATATTCCATTGCTATAGCCTCAACATTCCATGTTCAGTAAGATAAATTCATCCTCCAAATCATTTTAAAAGAACAGTCCAACAAGGTTGAGTCTGGAGGCATTACTGGTGATTCAATAAAATAATTTTTTGTCAAACCATAGAATGAGCATCTGTTGATCGAGATATTTCCGAACTGATCATGCATAATGTGGAAGCGCACCATCTCATTCCAACCAAATTCTGAGATTTGGTGTACCAGGATCTTCTACGTTAGGAAAAAATACCGCTGAAATGGGAAATAATACAGCTCCAACAAATTTCAGGTCCCTGTTGAAGTAGCTCGTCCCAATAATTTGAGCCCCCCCCAATATATCAGACCCACACATTAAGATTTTGTTAAAACAAACAGATTTGTATCTTGGGATTGATGAATTAACAGTTCAAGTAACAGTTGATCCTACGACATTACTATACATAGCAGCTTCGATAATGTTAGTATCTCCATTATTCATCAGCCGATTTTAATAAATTTCTGTTGATTCAGTATGAAACATTTGACAATTGAAATGTCACAAAAAGGACTTCACAATTTGGTTTTCTTAAGCAGCACTGCCACCTCACAAGAATGAAGAAGTTGATGAAATCGACATGTCTCAAATAGTTTCCTACCGATTCTAAGAATTTTTCGGGTCCACTGTGAAATTCAGGCTATTGTTGAGTTCTTTTCCGCGAGTTGACCAATAATTTACTATACTGAACAATAGTCAAACTTATTTCTATTTTACTTAAAATAAAACAAACACCTCAACTAAAACTTCCACTATTATGGAATGTCTATCGCCTTACTACATCGCTCCTCGTACTGCACTGTAAATTCCACTTGACTGACTCGATGAGCGAGTGGATGGCGCTTGTATTTAGCAATCGGAGGCGCTGGAACATTCCTAGGAATTTCATCGAAGTCGGTAGAATATTCGCCGGGAATTCCGTCGATTCAGTGCGAACAGCCGAGAAATGACGGTTGAACTGAGCGTGCTCTTCGCCACGTCACAAATGGTTTATGGCTACCAGTGGCGGCCGGCATTATTTTCTTTAGGGTGTGATTTACAACACTATAATGGATTTATGTTCAGACCTCTACGGTGATATTGGAATTCATGAATAAATTCCACCGGAAAGTACTATATGTACATGAAATATGGAATTTTAAAGATATTTTTCAGAATGTTCTGAAACCATTGACAAGTGATTCTCCATATTTCATGTTATAAATTTGGACGGCGGACAACTTTTCTTTGAAGTTATTCTCTGAATTAGTGTATCAGTTTTGTCCCTGCGGCGGGGTACGTTAAGATACCCCTGCCGAGATCACCTCAATGACGTATATCTATTTGAAAACGATGTGTGACTCTTACCTACTCAGTATCAGTAATGGAACCTTCAAGTAACCAGGGCCCTCTCATCGAAAAAACCTTGTTACGGTAATGTCGGACCATTCCTGGATCATAAAATGACTAAAGAATCTGATCCTTGATCTGCAAAGGAGATGAGAGTCGACTAAATAACCCCATCTGTCCACTCTGTAACATTGGATCAATAACAACAGCTTATTGATCCTACTAACCCAGACGGCTAGGTGGTGCATCCAGGAAGCAACTTATCGCCTCCTCAAGAATAGGATATTAGTAGACTCTACCTTGCACTAAATTCTTACGCAGCAGGAACATAAGCAAAAGGTCTTTCACTTACAGCAGAGACGTAATAGTTCCGCATGGTTAACATATGCTCTTTTATGGAATAGTTGCCGTATTCATCACAGTGGAAATCTTGCACCATGCACATCCGATAACCTCAATCTTGACAAATCAACTAGATTTTCTTCAGAAATGCTCCACTTTCTTGCCTGGAAGGCTGCAGGCATTGTAACATGCGTTATAGGAGACTCCTAAGCAAGTCACACATGTTATTGCTTACGGAGGTGTGGCTTCAACTTCGGAGTAGATTATACTTCACAAGGAAAATCAGAACCTGTAGGCAGATAAGCCACTCTCTTTCTGGTTTGCCGCGGTCCGGGTCAGGTTTTCAGCTTCTGGCAAAGTCCCACTCTTACCAGCTGACTTGAAAGATACCTCACCAGAGGAAGTAATCGGCTCCGTTGAGAAGCTGGATTTATTCGCTCGAATTTCTAGATATGAGCCTCAATAAATCCTTGAGGGTTACTGTAGAAAGTTGAATAAACCTACTCAGTCTTCACCTGCCCCTACCTACTCCTAGTAAATCAGTTTTTGAAAAATTTTGAGATGTTATTATCCACTGTTTTTGTCATTGATGGACATATTTTTTTTGTTTATGGTAGACTTATTTCAAATTCTATTATTTTCTACTTACAGATGCACTTTCTCCATCATCTCTCCAAGTTGCTTTTCCAAGTCGCTAATACGATTCTGAAGAACATTTACTTGGCGACCGAAGCCACTATCCAGCGAATGAATCTGTTCATAAAAGTCTTCAATCTTCGATTCCAAAATTTTGATTTGCACATCGGCTGGTTGGGATTCAGGACTTGCTGCAAAATGAAATATAAAGAAATTGTGAATGCGGGAAAAAACCAATCACAATGGTAGTGACATGTTGCTTTCTATTCATTAAATAATTTTGAAACCATTTATATACTAAACCTCTGATACCTATGTTATGCATTATTTTCAGAAGAATTTCATGGTACACAGTATCAAATGTGTTCTTCAGGTCTAATGAAAAAACTCCACATTTTTTGTTTGAATCTGAATCTAGCTATCATTGGGTTATGACATCTAATACTTCCTACTCTGTGTCACAATTTTTCGAAAATTCGTTTTGCTCATCATATAATAATTCTGTCTTTTCAAGATATTCAAACAATCTAGAATGTGCTGATTTTTCAATAATCTTAGATAAAACTGGTAAAACTGTAATTGGTCTATATTCGTCATTTGGTCTTCTTTGCCTACTTCAAATAATGGTTTCACTTTGGCAATTTTAGCAATACTTATTTGTTAAGTCTGGACTGAATAAAATAAACTGAGAATGAAAAGTGCGAGGTTCTAAAACTAAAAAATGTATAGATTATCAGCTTGAGCACTATTATTTTCTGTTTTCCAAATGTCAAGCACATTCGCCAGGAAACGTGGCTATTTCACTGTATTTCTGTTAGCTATAGAAATCACAAACTGGAGAGATGATGCTCACCAGTCGAGGTATAGTATGGAAATTAAAAATTGTTCAATAGGTGATGTAATATCACCTAAATTAGAAGAAATATCAATGTTGAGGTACCTCCTATAGTGAAACCAAAAACTTGATCCGTATTTTTCGAAATTGCACATAACATTTTTTTTTTCAATCGATAGTTTTCGTTACTCTTCTTACATGTATAAACAAGGTAGTGGAAAATAATTTTGATTCAAGAAGTAATTAAAATTTTATTCTGACCCTAGTCTTTATTAGACTTTGGCAACATATTTTTTAAGAACTGAAAAATGTAAAAACTATCTGTAAAAGGAGTTCAAAAACTACGATTTTGCTACTACACTCTTTTGATTTTAATTAAAATTTTATTCTGACCCTAGTCTTTATTAGACTTTGGCAACATATTTTTTATGAACTGAAAAATGTAAAAACTATCTGTAAAAGGAGTTCAAAAACTACGATTTTGCTACTACACTCTTTTGATTAATTCATTATTTTATGAAAAGTTTTATGTTATATTGAAAAAGTCCATAGATTCAGAAAAACATACTTGTTAGTATTTTTTGGAGTTCTGCAATATCCTTCGTCAATTGGGGAAGAGCTGCTAAGTTATTTTTAATGTCCATTATATTCAATTTCAATATCGTCAATGCGTCAGAAAGTGGTTTCTTAGAGATGTCATATCTGAAATAAACCTGAGTTATTGAGTGCTCTGACGTTCAATGACCACGTTTTACGCGGCATCTCATAATTCAGTTGAAAGTTACCATACTGGTTCAATAACCTAAGCATTTTAGAAGGAAGATTGGCGTTATAAAACCGGATCGGGTTAGTCATATTAACAGCTACTTCAAGCCTAATCAGTTGGAAAGAATTGTTTTAATTGAACGGGTAAAAACATCGCTGCCATCTTGACTTATGAGTAAAAGTTAAGTAGTGGATGACAGTCGTTGCTGCTACCTTCGTCTTCGAAATCAAAAAATGAACCAGTGAGGATAATCGCCGCAATAGCAGGCGAAACGCTTGGTACTACAAGTTGCATTCGATCACAACTCCTCAGCCCGGATTTTCATCACATTCTCGAAAAAACATTTACGTGATCTTTTGACGGTAGTATGTCAATAAATGTATCATTTTTTTTTCACCGTATTGTGCGCTGGTCAGGCCCTATCCCCCAAAGCCCCGATACATTTGGGAGGGCGCGCCAGCATTATCAACAAATAACCACTCCCCACACCGTGGGGTAAGTGATCATTGGATCCGAGAATCATGTGCCCTGAGCAAGCGCAGTGAGCCAAGATTTCTGCCTTAGTGCGGCAAGCCGGTATGATTTAAAGCTTCGAGAGTAGGTAGGACATCATTCCACCAAGGACTCCAATAATCAGAACAACCATCTTGACAGAGTGATCTGGGTAGAGTCTGCGGAGTTCGAAGAGAGAATCTCGATATTTTATCGGTTTTTCCTCCTCTTTTCTGACGATATTCGTCTCTCCAGGAGCTGAAAACTCCACGACAAATATCGTTTTGCTCTGGTGGTCGAGAAGGACTACAACAGGCTTAGTAGATTGTATGAGCCTGAGGGTGGGGAACGAATAGTTCCAATAAATTCGGCACTTCTCGTTCCCCACAACGGATTCAATATCCGTTGCGTAGGGCAACACTGGTGTCTCGTCAATATCGTAAGAGTAACGTAGATGGTAATATAGCACTCTTAGGGCCACGTTATGTCAGCGAACGTCAGGCGCTTTGATAAGCCAAGGTCTCCAATGTTATTAGAAGATCCCATGCATTGAGTCATCCTTGTGTCTCCGCAGAAGTAAGGTGATCTCTGCGGCTTTCATCTGAGCTTTTTGCTGAACGGGTTCCAACTCGGTGACAGAGTTGTGGTCACCTCGTTCAAAGTTGAAAACTTCAACTGGTTAGTAAAAAAAACAAACACTCACGTAACGTGGGTCATGAACGTGAACGTGGTTCATGGTCAACCATAGGTTCCATTGTCCAGGTGTATCTTCAACACCAACACTTTTATTTTCAACCCTCCTGTACCCAATACCGGCTTACGATTTCACTACCGAATCTACTCAAATTTTGCACCATGCGCTTAGAAGCGAAATAACTCACCTATTCAGGCCACCTTTCTCAGCCTCACAGGCTGAGGGATGACACCCCCGAACTCGTCTCGACAGGCTCCGGTGACCAACCTTTTTGTGTCTCTTACAAGAACTTCCAAGCCCTCGTGTCAACAACGTTAGCCACAAAAACCTCATCTCAGCGTTTTCAACTTCCCCAAGCGTATGATCATTGACAGGATGTAATATATACATTTGTTTAGTCTAGCCCCACTTGTACATGTCCACAACGACGCTCAAAGGTTCGGCAGTCACAAAGTAGTTCAAACGCTTTTTCATCTGGGAAAATATCGACACCAAAGAACCAGGTGATCGACCTCGATCTCTATGAATATAATAATATTTTACGTTACCATCGAAATGGCAGTTATTACTTTATTAGGATGTTAGGACAAAAGAATCTTCAATTGAAGCAATGATGTTCATCCTCAAGTACTGTGTCGTTATTGATTATGCATTATTTTCCGTGAGATGAAGTCATTTCAGTAATGAAGCGATGAGCGAAAAGGAAAATTCAGATTGGTTGAACTCCTTGCGTCGTGAAATACATCCTGGAATTTTACCTTTCAAAAATTTAATAAAATCATCACATACCTGTCAATATCAGCAGCGACATATTGATTAGTCGTTCCCTCTGAAACTGAGAAAAGTATATTAGTTTTCATTCAATGTCTTGAGGTTTTTCATTATTGACGTTATATATTTGTTCTTCCATAGATTCACAATCTTTTAACACATTTTAGACAATTCCGAACTTGTAATATTCGCTAGAAACATGTCTTGAGCTGCCAGTTTGATTCACAAAATGCCTCAGATAGCTTGCCATCCTTGTTCATTAAAAGTTATTATTTGCTGTACTATTACTCAATGGGAAGGAAAATAACCCGAAATAAATACTTTCGTCAATTTACATATATCAAATCTTTATGTTCAGGAAATCAACATAAAATTTTATTCATTATACCTGTGGGTTCGGGAACTTTTGAAGTCATTGTGGCTGGTGTTGTAGTTTGAGGTAAATTCGCTAAGGCGAGTTCAATATCCTCCACTCGTTCCTTTAGAGACTTTTTCGTAATATCGCCACTAACAATCGATTCTTGTCTGACTTTTACAGTCTCAAGTCTTTTTTTTTTCTATCAGGGTAAAGCATCGGTCTATTGGCATCATTGAATGCCCTGGAATAGGATAATATATCACGATCTTTTGAAGGAGCCTAGATGCACAAAGAGAATCCAAATACGTAAACAAAAATTTGTTTTTATTCTGCGAAAAACAGTTGTCGCAAAAAATTGACAATATAACTTGTTTATCGGTTTTGTAATCCTTCAGATAGAAATCTAAAGCTGTAATAACTTCATTAGGGCCATTGGTTGCAAAATTTTCAGTAAATAAGAACATTGTGGCTTGATTTGTCACAACATTATTTATTCTTATTTTTGGAAGAAAGCCATTTTTCATCATCTTCTGTTGAAAATGGATCTATAAAATCTATAAAAAACAAGGCCACTTCATGAAAACAACAACACAATGAAAATCACAAAATACGCACTTTTCTGTATCTGATATCACTTCGGTTCTGTTTGAAAGTTAGCTACTTTTTTAACACTTAGGTTCTTCTTGCACGAAACCTCTCGTCACTTTATAAAATGCTACTTGAGAAATGAGGCACTTCGGAACATTTTAGGCGAAAACTAAATAGAGTAATTAAAAGTATATTCAATTTATATCTAGATGGTGCTACTAGTTTAAACTCGTATAAATGTTACTTAGGGTCTTTTTGCATAGAGCCCTTCAATTATACCTTAAGACTTCCCATCCAAACTTCGAATTTAATCAAGCATTCCATATATTATAATGGTGTTAAGTTGTTCAATTATCTACCACTAGAAATGAGATCTGCAAATCTAAGCTACATTCATTTCAAAAAGGCGGTGAAGAACCTACTTGTTGATAGACCCTATTATAGTTTGGAGGAGTATTTTAGCGAATTCATTTAACAATATATCAGCAATATATTAGAAATTTATTCTTTGTACTATCAGTTCAAACATGGTAGTATTTCATCTATACATTTTTAGAACTTTTTTTACATTTACATTTATACATTTTTGGAAGTTTTTATATGTACATTTACACTTTTTCAGTACTAACATTGTATTTATTGGACTTTGTCAATAAGATGCAAATCTTCGGACAATAATATAAATTTTGATTTGATTTGTTAATGTTCAGCGATGACACTCATTTCTGGATGAATGAGTATGTGAACAACAAAATTGTCGAATTCGGGACGATACCAATCCACATGAGATCTCAGAGCGTCCAATGCATTTCGAAAAAGTCACTGTTTGGTGTGGATTTTGGGCATCTGTCCATATTTCTTTAAGAACGGCGTTGTCCAGGCCATAACTCTCAACGGCGAGTACTAAAGGTCAGTGATTACCAACTTCTTTTGGCTTGAATTGGACGATCTGAACACCAACGACATGTGGTTTCTACAAGACGGCGCAATGTGCTCATGCCACATTGGATATTCTGCATGAGCGATTTGAGGGCATGGTCATCTCATATAGAGGTGATGTGAACTGGCCACCAAGATCGTGCAACTTGACCTCGGTAGACTTTCACTTGTGGGATTTTCTTAAGACGCAGTTATATGCGAATAAGCCAAAAACCACAGCGGTCCTCATAGTTAACATAACCCATGCCATCGCTCAAATTCAGACTGATTCATGCGCCAGAGTCATGGAAAATTTGATGTTTCGGATGCGTTCCAGCCAGAGAATCCGTGGCGAACATTTGAACGATGTTATATTCCACACATAATGGCTTCAATAGGTCTTTCAAACGAATATCGATAATATCTGACTCACACTTTCGTTTACTTAACTTTAAAGGTAGAAAGCGCCTAATGAACTACCCTATACTATCGATTTCAATTACCCTTATAGAAATAAATCTAGAGGCGATAAGTCGGGGATCATGATGGCTGTTGTATTGCAGCACTTCGACCAATCCATCTGCCCGGAAATGTATCATTCAGTCACTGTCTAACTGGAAAAAAGTACTATGGTGAAGCTCCATATTTTTTAAATTGAACAAAATCGTCTTGAAATATTCTGTTACCAGCCACATCGATCTGATTTCTCAAATTAGTTGTTATTGAGAGGTTTATTATTTCCTCAAGCAGTTTTACAAATCGCTATGAATGGAGTTTCAATAATGTATTTACAAGAATGCCAACACAAACATTAGTTTTCGTGTTTATGACCTTTCCTAGTAAGTCACGAATTTCTGTCACTCCACTAGCAACAGTTTTGATTATTAACACGCCTATTGAAAAAATTACACTCATCAGTAAAGCAGATATTGTGAAAAATATTTTCATTTCAATTTATGAAATTCGTGATCGCTGTTGAAAAATTTTCATTCCACAATCAATTATTTATCCATAAGCACAGCTCTTCACGCGTGCAGGCTCCGTATATTCCGAAAATAGTGGCAACTTCTATCATGAAATATTTTTCATCTGGCACCTCACTTATAAACCTCTGGACTGGTTCAATGGTTTAATGATCGCATTCGACTTTATCATTGAAAACTTGCTCCACAAAGTTGACGAGTTCCGATTTTTATTTCTCTTCTAGATAGGCTGAGAAAACGGTTTTGCTGAAATTTCCTTTGGCGTATTTACACCAGCTAAAAAAATTAAAATATGCGATGTCGTACTGCTGAGCCAATTTTTTTGTTAACAATTCAATTGAAGCTCTTTTTGCAGCCTCTTCAATATCGTCAAGAACACACAATTCCTCACTATTGTTTTCCATTATTCAAGACATTAAACACCTGCAAGAACTTCAAATAGAACGCGTGAGCTGTAAACAATACTGTTTGTTGGTAACCAGGTGATTCGGCATCACCTGACACGGCGACTTCACAGCAAATGCGATAACATAAAAATAGTTAACTGACAAAATATGTTCTTACAAAAATATCAAATTTATCTATTTCATTATGAAAACAGGACAGTTGTACAAAAAACTTTGTATGATTTTTGTGTAAAATATAAGTTTTATTTTGTTCGTGAAACTCTCTCACTCACAAAATCAAACCTTACTTTTACCACCCATATCATGAATAGCTATAATGTTTGAACTCACGCAAGAGCATGTATTATTTTTTCGTTTCCTGGCAGGGCTTCCAGTTCCCTCATTCGTTCTTCTATTTCAATTAATTTGTCTTCCAACTGTTGAAAATGATCTTTTGTAACAGTGACTGTGAAATTAGTCCCAGAATTATTCGGACTCTTCGAATTTTCGACGAGAATGACAGTAGAGCGATCATTTTCATTGGTGGTGAGTGATTCTTAAACAGAATAAATGATGAACTCCATATAAATAACTACTTTACTATGTACCACTGAACAAAATTTCTATATGTTCCTCACCTTTTCTTTTAGCCGCCATAACCTTTTTAGACTTGTGATGGGTTTCATCTTTTGCCTCCGAACTACTTTTTCCTGAATGCTTAGGTGACTCACCAGGTTTTTCTTTATGAGATTCATCTTTTGACCCTTTTTCTAAAGAAATAACGATATTGAATAATATTTTTATCAATGGATTATTCGTTTAGAGGTATCACAAGAGATGTGAAAACAAAATTATTTTCAGTATCAAAATAAAACAATATTTTCTATAAAAAACAATGCAATGTTGTTAGGCCATTATAGCAATTTGATAATCGTACTAATATTTTTGAAAATCGTCTGTCTATCTGTCTGCTTGTCAGTCTGTAAGTCTGACTGTCTGAATGCGATGAACTCAAAAACAACAGAACAGATTTTCGTAAACATATTCAATTGAAACGGTGCCCGTGCTTTTTTTAAGGGTTGTCGATCGTAGGGGAGCGACAGAACGTTAATGGTAAAACAGATTTTAATACATTCTTTTCACTAATGGACGTAGTGATTCAAGAAGGTTTATGTATACATAATTGTTTTGTATAAATCGGTTGAATGTTCTGTTAAATGTTCTCCGCTTTTCAGGAACATTTCAGAGCAAAAATGTTAGCCCGCATATCTTGAAAAGCACGCCTTTCGTTCAAAAAAAACAAACGAAGGGGGGATTAGGAGCTATTTCATCATATTGTTTGTTCCGCAATGGTTTGCGATGTTTCGGTATTTTTCCAAAAAATGGTTGAGGTTTTCAGTGTAACTATTTTCATTCGGGTTTGAAGAAATTTCGAAAATCGACGGCCTTCGAAGCCGAATAAAAATACAGACATTTTTTGTAAGGTTTCTGAATTTTTCCGAATATTCCACAACATTTTTGAATATTACGGGATATTCTGCGATATGAAATGCTCTGGAGTACTCTGGAGTACTCTGAACTTTTCTAGAATGTTCTAGAATGCGAAACTTGCAGCCCTTATATCTTCAAAAGCACGCCCTTCAGGTGAAAATGGGAACCAGAAATACAACACTCTTCTCGAAGCACGTTTCACCAACCAAGTTGGCTTCTTCGGAATCAAGTTATCGAAAGAACTGGAATATTTTGATACTAATCGAGATTATTCTTGGCCCCTATTGTAAAACAAGAAATTATTCAACAACGCATTTAGTCAAGCTAGCGTAGAGATACGTATCATATGGAAACCTCTAATCAAGCGGAAAACGACCAACTCCTACCAAAAAGTCATTTCCCGCTAAAACCAATGGGGAAAGAGGGGAGAGGGGATAGGTGAAAGCACTCGAATGACCTATTAATAGTCAGATTTCGGATGAATAAGTCCCGTCATCACCCGAAGACGATTGTGGATACTAGCAATCAAAACGTCGTGACGTAACTGGGTTTGAAATATTTTAATTTGTCGCAGTTGGAGTAAAACAAGAAATGTTCCACTATCACTAGGATACATCAGTGAAGTGAAAAATTGGTTTCTCACGCATAATCGAAACAACTTTCTTGATTAATTGAATTTATGAAATTTTTCCTTTCAATGTTTTCATTACTTAAATCAGAACCTATAACAAATAATAAAATATAAGATTATTCAATGAAAATTCCATTTTCTTGTTCTCGAGAGAATTTATCTGATAATTGTATCTGAGATGATTCTGCAACCGTGTTAGGAATCACACGTTAAAAGGTAAGACCTCGTTAGTCCTTAGCTCGCACAAGTTTCTCTTCTTCTGAGAGTTGTCGTTCGTATGGGAGCGACAGCGGATTAACGGAAAAACATATTTTAGGCAGACAGATACACTTATAAATACTGTACTTATCCACACATTATTTTGTAATCTATTACGAAGAAGTTTGTAAATGCAACTGTGCTTATTTCTCATTGATGTAATTTCAAAGGTTTAATATTTATTCTTGTCGTACTCAAATGGGTTATAATAGGGCCCAGAGAACAATCTCAATTAGTATCAAAATATTCCAATTTTTTCAATGACTTGATTTTGGTAGGAACTTTTAATCTAAAGACTACTTCATCCCCTGAAGAAGCCAACTTGGTTTCTGAAAGATGCGTCGAGAAAAGTGTTGTATTTGTGGTGTTTGGGAACAGTGATTCTTTTAGATCGGAAGTCTTAGTTCTATATTTTCTAGATATGCGAGCGCTTTCGACAGCTGGTCGTACTATCATCATCAAGGCTCTACTCAAACTGAACGTTTCATCCTCTTGTTTGTTCTTTTATGCGGTTCGAACGCCTTAGTGCAGGTACTTCAAATAATTTAGATAAATTTGCCTGGATATTAGTTACATCAGGTAATATTCTTTGTGTTGAATCTTCTCTAGGTTTACTGTTTCTAGGAGTGTGTATTGTTTTGTGTAATATATTGAATGTTAGGTCATGTTGTGTTTTGATTTGTATTCGTTACTCGTTAAGTGAATTATTACTGTTAAAATGAATTTAACAGTGATGATTAAAAATACTTCTAAATACTACCTAACTGAGTTTCTTCGAAAGCTTCGGATAATTCCTCTTCCATATTATCTATTTCACTATCACTATCGTCATTTAAATCACCACCATTAATATGGTGTGTTCAATCTCCAAGCCTTTTCAAACTAAAATTACTTTTTTAATCCTTTTCTGCCAGTCTTCATCGGTAATATTAGATACTTCTTCTTTAATTAGCTATATCACCTCTTCATCAAATTTGGAAAATTATTTTTACGTCTGATGCTTTGTTTCAGTTTTCCCCAAATCAACTCGATGGGATTGAAAACACAAAAATAGGGGTGAAGTTTCAGTATGGTGTATCCATACTTTTCAGCTATACTCACTAATATATATCCATTAAAACTATATCCATTAAAAAACTTTGTTTTTCATCTCTCCTGGAATTTTCATTCGGTACTTTGATGAGCTGTGTTTTCAAACCATTGCTCGAAAATATTAGCATTCATGTTCTTATGATACTGAGCATTACAGTCCACAAGTTTTTTTCTACATAATTTCAAAGAATTTGGAACCCATCCTTTTCTTTCTCTGCAATGCACATCAATTATTAGTCGCGATCATTTGTTTGCAGGCATGTTAGGCGTATACATTCTCCAACCCACCCTTTCGTAACTGTGTCATAAGTGTCATATCAAGTTTCGTCCGAATAGAAAATTTGACGTTGTTCTTGTCTATATTTAGTTATTTGTTCTTAGCATTTGTTACGCAATTTCACTATTCTTCTGCTTTCCATAACTGCTTCACGTTTGTTTATTATTTCAAATCTAAATCCTAGTTTATTTATTCAATTCTGAAGAGTTTTGTCACAATAGCTCACGTTATGGCCGGAAGTATTCAATTTTTTCCTTATGATTTGTTGTAGGAATGTCATTGCTTTTGTAACAGTCGTATATTGTTTTTTCAATTATTTTATTAGATGAACATCTAAAGGTTTTGGTTTTTCTATATTACATCGCGTCTTGCGTTCGTAAGGTTTGTTTTTGTCTATTTTAAGTACAGTTGAGAAAGGAATATTGGTCAAATCTGATTCTGTTTGTAATAGTTTGTTTCCCTCGAAACCAAACTTGAGATAAAGATTTCTATATACATTGATACATACTCTCTGTTTTTCAATATTCAAATGCATCCGAATCTTATTCACTGATATCTCTTTATCGCATTGTTCACCATCGCTATTGGAATCACTACACTGAAAAAAGTCTGCATTGTTATCACACTTGTTATTACTATTAGTACTTGTCCAAGGACGCCACATATTGAACAGAAAACAGAAATTTTAAACAATTATAACTGCACCAATATCGAATTTCAACACTCAAATCGCGATAAACACGACTGCGATATAACCTTCCCCGATTTCTATTCGTCCCGTAATATGACTTCAAATTTGATTTTATGACTCTTCAGCCAATCACAAAACTCAGTTAGTAAAAATTATCCAATACGAACCGTCAAGTTCACGTGGACTAGTTCGTTGCCGGTTCTTTCTATGTATTGGTTTTTTTGGCCTTCGAGAGTGCTGCCACTTTTAGATGTGCATAATATCGTTTACTTTCACGATACCTATAGTCGTCAATCATTGTTAAAATGAAACGAATATGAGTGAAATACGAAGAACAAAAAAGTGTTGAAATGTTTCAAAAGTAGCATGATCTGTGTTTAATAATTTTAAATTCTGTCATTTCTTGAAAATTCATCTTATATCTCACCTGCACTAGTCATTCTGGGCTTATTTTGTTTTTCCTCCACGTCCTCACCTTCAGAATGGTCTGGTCCACCTATCGTATATTCAGTTAAAGTCAGAGCATTACCGGTAGTTGAAGCAGACATGAACTGTTGAATACGTTCACTGTCCAATCCTCTAAATTCCACATTAGTGTCTGTTAGATTCAACTGACTTATCATTACTTGCAGAAGGGAATGGAGAACGGTGAAGTTCACCACACCAACCTAAATTGAGATAATGGAATGTGATGAAGGTCCATTATGTTCAATATCAACAAAAAGTTATCAATATCATTCAAAAAATATTGCTTCTGTTAACGTTCCCAATTTTATGAAGTTATAACCATGTCACTTCAAAGGAAGGTTTAGAAAATTTGCAGAATTATTGTGGGGCAATTGGTGGAGATGAATATTTGGTATTTTTTATCCTATTGTTGTTGCGTGCTGTCAAACACATATCTAATAAGTTTTTTCTCAAATAAAACGTTCCACATCGACTTCCTCAATAACGACTGAACCAATTCAAAAACTACAGATGGGGTAGAGGACCAAGACATCTACCAAATTATTGTAACGAATCTGAAGCCGATCCTGAGCGATATGACGGCCAGCGAACAAACACATGACATCATCGCGAAAGAATGCAGTCGACAACCGCCGGTAAAACTCTAGTCGAGTATCGAACCGGCTACAGATTTCTAAAAAAATCTGTTACACCATATAAGCCGGCTTCCCGACCCAAGAGGGAGTTCAGAAAGTGAATCGAACAGTTAAACAAGGAATTCAAAGAGTGGAAATAAATTGAGCGTTTATTGCTAAGTGTTGTAAGTAAATTAGTTTGTGATTAGTGGAATATTGTTGGAAGTAAATTTGTTTGAGACAGTTAATTATTCAATTCGTTACATTATGCTTACTCACTCTAACCCTCTATGGCATTGAATAAATTGAATGTCAAAATAGGTCGCCCTGAAAACAAAAATTGACATTTTCTATGAAATTTCTCATCACAAATCCATTTCGGAGATACAGGAGAGGATGAGGTTTTGAATAGCCATCAATAAAATTGAAATATTCCGCAATAAGAATTAATGAATCAAAAATGAAATTTCTCTATTGCTCCTGAATTACTATTGGTAGTTGTATAAATATATGTATGATTTCAGGAAAAAAATGTAACAAAAATTGACTGAGATAAGTTTGTCCCAATAGCACTTTTTTCCATCTGAAATATCAGGAAGAAAATCCTGATTAGAAAGATCCGATTGTACAACGTCGAATGATATCTATGAAAGTATTTTTCCGTCACTTTTTTAAGGTTGAGTTTTTGAAAAATATAAGCAACAGAAGCATTTCTCGGTAACTTCAACAGCTTGATAAACTCTATAGGTTTATCGGTAATTCATTTCAATGTCACTGCGATGGAAAACACGCTAATGAAGGTTCTACAGACATATGAAAGAGACTAGATTTCTTACCTCTGGAGTATTCAGAGCCAAGTCGCACATTCTTGGTAGTGTTAACAGGGTTGCACTTTCAACCATGATTCTTGTGTGTATTAACAATGATTAATTGAAATATTTTTCGTTAGTCGTTCAATGTATTACTTCTGACATAAAAAAAGAAAAAAAATGTAGTTGTCAAATAATATGAGAGATTGAAGACATTTCCATTGACAGGCGAAACAAACTGAAGACGGCGTCCAAGCAGTCTGTTTTCACTCATTCAATATAATTGAAATTACACAGGGTTGCCATTCTGTTCAGTGAGTTCATTTAGAGACGAGCAAAAATATTCAATTCTTGGAATATTTTAATGTTTATGTCCAGATTAATATAACATACATCCAGCAAGGGACTTGTACAAACTAGTACAAGGCATAATGCTGTTGGAACGGGTGTCATAAAAAAGATGGACAATGAGCCCATGATGCTGCTGTATTATTTGGAGACAAGTCAGATGGCTCTCAAGAAGTAGGAAAAAACACTTCCATTCATCAAGATGGGTGTGTTTCCCAAGTTGTTTAAGTTTCACTATTTCTCACTCGGTGGCTCTTTCTGACCCACTTCGTTTATATATCACCTCATCCTTGAAATAAATTTTCAAGCACTCCAGAAAATTAGGGGATTAGGTGTTTTCAATACAAAACTTTCTGAGTTATGGAAAATAATTGAGTCAGCAAGTACTTCGAAAAAACAATAGGTGATCCATGAGTAATTATCTAGCACTGATCTTTATTGGGCGAAAAATGTCTCATTCAGTAGTGTATCGATAGATATGAACCCAGGAGAAACGTAACGAATGAATTTATTTATGGTGAATACGAAAATCAGAAATCACAAAAAAAAGAGTAAACCAAGAGAATATTTGAGACAAGGCGGAAAAGTCTTGCAGAAAATAAGAAAAGTATTGCTGTTGATTTTCATGATGATGTAAAATTTCAATGCTGTTTTGGATCTTGACGAAATTAGTTTGAGTACAAATGAATTACTTTATGTCATCCTGACCAGTAAGTCAACTCACCTGTTATTCATTTTCTGCCAAAAAAAAAGGAACATCACCGTATCTGATACCTAGTTTTGAAACAATGATGTTTAAGTTTCGACTCTAGACGAGTTATCACTCGAAAATGATAATCTAAAATTTCACTAGAATCTATACAAAATGTATACGCTGTGTACACTGTTTTTGCCATATCTACGAAACCTAAGATTATAATAAATACCATATATGTACAATTATTATAAAAGTAGTTGTCATAATTCATAGTCATAGGGTACTAGAAAAAAAGTCTCGTCTCTAATATTCATTAGAGAAAAACATCCACGGCTCAAATACTCTTAAACCAACCCTAGTGAAGTAAAAATGACACGTAATTATATACAAGACTCCAAATTATATTCGTTGTACCGTTTAGCTCAACTATTTCATCTGGACCTATATCTATTGACACAGTTTAGGCAATTTTACCAGGAAAATACATTTTCAATAGCCGCACATAATACCGATTGCTGCCGTGACGAGAGGTTACCATGCGCAAGCGACTGTGCGATTCTCTTCCCACTGTTTTGGCGTTACGCTAACTCTCTTGCCACACTGAGCTCGGATAATGAATCAAACAGCAAAAATATAAAAGTAATGAAAGGTGAAACTGGAACTTCTGGCGTAGAATTAATCAAAAACAAGCACTTTTCCAAATCACCAGAATTACAAGACTCTTCCCGATGCGTGTTTCACCAACCAAGTTGGCGTCTTCATCTGGTGATTAGGAAAGTGCTTATTTGGATTCATAAAACTGATGCATTTTAGCTCACAGTAGTCAATATCTTGAAAAAAATTGTCATACCGAATTTAAAATGAGAACTTGAAACTTGACCGAGATATATTATTCAAAAGACTTTTCTGTGGAGAACTCAATACTTCATAAAATTAAAAACTAAAAAGTTTGTAATTATACTTTACGTTGAGGAACTATTTATATTTCGGGAACTGGCAACACTAATGTCAATAGGTAAAAAGTAGCAACAATATAATGCAATTTGACATTTTTCAGCATGAACATACTCAAGTTCTGATGTACAAGTAATATTTGTTTTGTTTACAGTGTATTGAGAAAGTCAATTTGACCAAAAAATATAATTTCAAGAGAAGGTTTTCGTTGGATTGTTTTTCACAACTTTCGACATGGGATATCTCAACAAGAATGTGACGATGAACTCAGTTCTTTGTATGGCGATAAAGCACCATCGCTGGTATAGTGAATTCAATTGTGGTCTAGTTCGATTGCCGACGAATTCCATGAAGGTCGTCTAAAATCGGTTGTTGTGCCACAAAACATCCATACTTCGATGATAATGCAAGATCTGAATGTGATATATTGTGAGATAGAGGCATTCTTGCATATTAGTTCCACTTAAATACATTCAATTTTGCATAAACACTTGGTTGTAAAAAAATATTCTCGTTGGATATCCCACAACTTATCAATCGCTCAAAAAAAGGCTCGCGTCAAGTGGTGTAAGAAGATGATTAAAAAGTTTAACAGTGGTGCTTCAAAAGAATTGTATAAAATCGTGACACGTTACAAATTATGGATATATGGATATGAGCCGGAAACGAAACAGCAATCGACCGTGTGGGTAATCCAAGACGAGCTACATCCAACAAAATTTGCTCGTTGGAGAAGCACAGCGAAGCAAATGGTCGCCTGTTTCTTCGGCCGAATGGGCCATGTGGCCACTGAGCCGCTTGAGCATCGTAGAACGGTCAATTCTGAGTGATACACGATCATTTTTTGCTGGAAGTCTTCAAAACGAATCATTCCCCATCATGACAATGCGAGCTCTCACACATCTCGTTAAACAGGTGAATTTTTGGGCAGTTAAAACATCGAATTGATGACTGATTCTCCGTTCAATCCTGATTTGGCACCCAATGTCTTTTTCTCGTTCCCGAATATCAAAGGTAAACTGCATGGTCAACGATTAACTAGCGCCGTAGAAGCAGTTGAAGCATTCAAAAGCCATGTTTTGGAGGTGTCTCAAGAGGAGTGGAAAAACTGCTTTGACAAGTGGATTGAACGAATGCAAAAATGTATTGAATATCATGGGGAATATTTCGAAAAACAATGAAGGAATTTTCATTAAGAAATGTTTATTATTTGCTATTCTCGAAATAAAAATAGTACCCCTCGTTACAGATGGAAACGGTTTCGAAATTTCCACATCACATCAAATCCCATAAAGGAGTCTTCAACGATAATTTATGGGTTTTAAAAAGTTATCATCTCAATAAATCATTATTCAAAAGTTCATTGTCTGCTAGACAGTTTGTATCATGAAAATCAATGATATTTTGGGTAAGAATATATCAAAAGTCCAATACCACTTACTGAAAATATTTTAATTTATGTTTTTACAATCAATTCCAAATTGGGTTGGGGATACAACAACGGACGGATGAACTCACAAAAAGGAAACTTACACCCATTCAATTAGAAACAATTTCTGAAATTATATCTCTCTAATACATCATTATATCGAACACATATTTTATCAATTTTGCAAAAATTCAATATTGGAAACAGGCAGTATCTATATCTGATTCATATGATTGTTATATAATTTTTTTTATGATGATTACCCTTATTGTCCCAAGAAACATTATACGTTCATAATTGGGTGCTTAAAATACGTATGTCTAGTTATTTTACAGTTGAATATAAATTATAAAAGAGTATTTTCATATATCTTGAGTTTATAATTTCATTCATTGATTACAATATATATTCCCTATTATAAACATTCATGGTATTTGAAAAAAAAATAACGTTATTATTATCGTTTTTTGAATAATACAATAACAAAATAAAAATGTGTCAGTCATTATGTGTACATAAACACTGATCATAAAGTCAGCCTTCTTTCAGCGTACAATATTGTTTTGAAATAGATTTCGATATACTCGTTTAAGCATTCATAATGATAATTCTTTTCAAATTCAATTTTCGATATTTTCTGTCAATCATTTCTGTCAAATTCGTAAAGTTGTAACCGTATCGATTCTTTTTAAATCAGTTTTTATGTATTCTTGGTTTTCTCAAAACATAGTGAAAAGTGCATTATTCACAGTTTTCTGAAAATTAAATTTCTCAGATAATTTAAATCAATTGAATGAACTTGCGAACGAGTTTATCGTGGTACTTTACGTATTTCATCACTTACAATGGTTTGTTGATTTTTGGTAAGAATTATTCCGTTTAAAAAAATCCCTCTTAGACAAAACATCAATAATTTCAAAATGAATATTTCATAAACAATCATTGAGAATTTAATGTATTCTACACAAATAAAAAACATTTCATCTAGACCGAAAATCATATAGACTGACAAATGGAAAAATCAACCGTAAGACGTTAAAAAATTTGAAAATCCTGGCATTTCAGAGATTTATTTGTGGTTATTCTGATGATATCCTTGTCGTTTTTCTATTCAGCAAAGAAAGGATACAGACTCGCATGTGATGGTATTGACCGATACTTGGTGAAAATCCATAACTTATTCAAGTGAAATTTCATTGTGATAATTTAACTGAACAGTTCACAAAATCGCAACACCTATTTCGCTTTACAAAAGCTTCCTCGAGCGTTTTCATACTAGTGAAACACGTGTTGCGGTTTTGTAAACTGCCCGGTGAAAATCTCGAGATAGGGTGTTATTTTAATATTAAACAGACAACGATTTTGAGATTAACAGGTATTAATACCACTTTTGAATACTTTCGAGAATACAAGAAGAGATAAAATAGTTTAGTCAGTTTCAGTAATTCTTACATTAATATCTTCATCGATGAATGTAAACTTTCATGACCGGAGATGAAGGCTATTATCCGGGTTTTCTGACTGTGGTTTGCAGGTTTTTATGCCTGTCGTCTCATCTACTACTGACATTTTCAAATACATTTTCATTTATATCCTTCTTAATTGTACTACCTGTTTGTGTTTGTGTACTTCTAAGAACATATAGCCAGCTTTCATAATTATTTATTTTCTTTTCGTTTCTTTTGAATTTATCCCTATTATTTCACTGTCCATCAATCCCAAGAAGACTGAGATGGTTCTTTTCACCAGGAAAAGAAATTTATCGGGCTTAAAACCTCCCGAAATGTTCAAAAGCAAACTAAACTTATCTGAAGAGGTGGAATACCTTGGTACTATCCTCGACAGGAAGCTAACATGGAACTCCCACCTACAGAGTAGAGCAAAAAGAGCGTATATGGCTTATGAGCAATGTCGGAGGACAGTGGGACGCGCATGGAGTCTCTCACCCCGTGTGGTCACCTGGATCTTCACCGCAATAATAAGACCTATGTTAATGTACGGTGCCATTGCATGGGGACCGAAAGTTCTACAAGCAACGGCCATCCAAAAATTATATCAAATACAGCAACTGACTTGTTTAAACATTACAGGAGCCATGAGAACAACACCAACCGCGGCAAAGGAATTAATTACGGGTCTGACCCCCCTGGACTTGTACGTTAATGAGGTTGCGTTAATGCCCATGTTACGATTGCGCACGGCTGGTGTAAACCTCGAAATAGGAATGGGTCAATTGAGGCTAAGCCTATGGCGAGAAGCGCTTACTGCGCAACCTCTGCTGCAGACAACGAGTGATGCAATTAAAGCCGGGTTTGTGTTCAATAAACCCTACAAAATACAAATAAAACAGAACACAGAGTCAGATGCTACAAATGCAATACGCATATATACAGACGGCTCAAAAACCAAAGAGACTCATGATGTGGAGTGTACTCCAGATCACTGAGTATAAGAATTAAGTGGGGAATGTGAAAAAATACCAGCGTGGTCCAAACAGAACTGGCTAATATCTCAATCGCTACAAAATAAATAACCAAGAAAGAAATTTCTGACAAAAACATAACAATCTGCCCTGACAGCAGACAAGCCCTATTAGCCTTGAACAGACAACGTTTAACCTCAGGGCTAGTACTAGAGTGTCACCAAGATTTAGCCAAACCTCGGTAGATAATAACATTATCCTGAGATAGGTTAAAGGGCACGACAGTAGTGAAGCTAATCCCATTGCCGACTCTTCAGCCTAGGAAGCGGGTGGACTAAGTATTTTAGGACCCAGTGGCACCTACGGCCTGATGACTTCGACAATTACGGAACTAGAAGAATGTTACACCCATGCTTAATCCCTAAAGAGATGGGATGGAATCAAAGGATGTAATCTTGCCAGGATCACCCTGGGCGATCCTGGGAAGCTGTCGTCGAAGAAGTATCTGGCGATGACCGGGGAAAATCTACGCTTAACAGTAGGATTTCTGACTGGTCACTGTCAATTAAGGAAACATCTCTATAATATGGGGCTAGTGGACACACCTTTATGCAGGATGTATGAACAGGAAGATGAGACTGTCAGGCATGTCCTATGTGAGTGCCCGGAGTTATCGTCAATAAGAGAGTGTGTGTTCGGCGAATCTTGGCCTACACCTGCCGATATAGAGGAAAAATGTCTCCCAGCGACCTGTCCACCTTCCTGGATACGACAGGATGGACGATGACCTAGGAAGACAACTCTTCGGGAAGATGTACAATGGGTCACATGTGGCCTGAGTGCTGTGGGCTTACACTCACCCTCCCTTCTCTACAGATTCAGATATCCCTATACTTAAACCACCAGGCAAAGTTTTAGGTCAGCGAAGGACCATAGAGAACCTCTAGCAACGCCAGGGGTATACCGGATTCCGTATAGCTGCGGGTCGGTCTACAACGGAACCACGAAACGAAGTACAGGGACCCGTCCCTCCGAACAAACAAACCAACAAGTCGGCTGTGGCCGAACATGCTATCAATAGAGAAGGTACTCACATTATCTCATTCGAAGACACGGTAATACCAAAACAGTACCCAAACAGTACCCAAAATTATCACCCAAAAATATATAGATTTGAAAGCATATAAATAATTTCAGTAGAAAAGAAGAGACAATGAATACTAATGAACACTGGCTATCTGTCTTTAGAGGTACATGAACACGAACAGGTAATACAATAAGGAACGATATAAATACAACGCCCAGTACGGGAATAGTAGTTTTTCAGATAATAGACAAACACTAGTTCGTGAACCAAAAGACATTTGTCTCCGGTTAGTTCAAGGGGATCCCATGCAAAAATTACATTCAGTAAAGTCACGTTAAATAAAAATAAGAGATGAAGAAAGTACAAGCACCTAAAGGCTGACTTTCGACCGCAGTAGGTCAGATGTCAATCTTGCTGAAGTGCCCATCAGCAGGGTGAGGTCCACTCAGGATGGGTGGGGATGAATAGACGAGATTCTAGCTTCTGCACACAGTAAACGTGTGGAGAAGATTCTATCTCACGGCACTCAACCCAGGGGGGGGGAATAGTAGTTTATGCGTTGGAGCAACCAGAGCACCAGCTCGGGTATTGCGACCGTTGCCACATCACCTTTGAAAAAGTCTAACGCAGTAGTAGACGAAACGTCAGACATAAAAACCTGCAGACCACGGCCAGAAAACCCAAAAATAGGTTTCATACAATAGCATCATATTATCAATGAGTAAAGCCAAGTAAAGAACATTTTCGCGTAATAAATGATTTTAATTCACACGTTTGACCATTTGGAATATGAGAAATTTCGACGTATCAAAACATGTTTCAAATGAAAGTATAGTCATGGAAATGATAATTTCCTATGAAAAACATATTTTCCATTCCAACAGTTTTCAAAATCCCTTCCATATATACTATTTCAGTTTTCGCATAAAATCTCATAACTTTCACCTGTTGCATCATTAAAACATTTTGTAAGATGAAAAATGACCAATTATAAAAACCGTGAGGTTTATCAGAGTAAGAACCAGAAAGTTATTCTTGCGAAAAAACATCTTGATTTCTAATTCAATAAAAGTTTCGTCTGAATTTCTCAATTATTATTATGCATGATACTGTCTTAATAAAGAATAAATTCTGACATTTAATTTATGGTCAAAGTCGTATTTTGTATACTGTGTCATCTTCTGCAAAAGCAATATACCCTCGTCTTTTGTCTGAAAAAAACCGAAGGTTATTAAACGGGAACACCGGGATAGTATTACTCACTTCTTCGTTCATCAATAAAAGTGACCCGAGCTCAAACTGACAAAAAGCCGATATGTGGGCATCATCGGAAATAGGGGAAATATTTTTTCTCAACTCTAAACAATCTCTAAACATCTCCATAGCTTCCCCGTAAAACCTTTGAATGCAGCAAGTATATCCAATGATTAATTTTGACAATCCTTTCATTGGTTCATCATTCGGGTCTCTTAACGAAATACAATCTGAAATTTTAAAGAATATGAAAAGCATTATTGAACAAATTATTCAATCATGTTCAAAGATGTAACAGTTGTTCATAGTTTATATAATAGTTTACCAACCGCAACACGCATTTATACTATACAATAGCATCTTCAGGCATGTACAATACTAAACTATAAGAGTCCTCCTCAATATGGGACATGGGCCTCATCCTGAGGTATGTATCCATGCCGAAAGGATGTAAGACACACAGTGTCACTAAAAGAACTTTCGAGATAGCCCTCTCGTTGTAAAACGGCCGTGTTACGATAATACAGAGCTCTTCCGCAATGAACCTAGCCCTAGACTCTTATAGAATCCTTTATAGACCACGAAATAACCAAAGAATCTGATCATGAGTCTTCAGAGGAGATGAAAGTAGAACCAACTTCCCCAACTTTCCACTCTGTAACATCGCATTAAGAACAGAAGCTTCTCTGTCCTTAAACTTTTGATTCTGTTGGCAAACCTAGGAGACTAGGTGGTGCAGCCAGGAAACGACATATCGTCTCCTGAAGATCAGGATATCTTATGAACCTGCCTTGCACCAAATCCCTGAGCAGCAGGGGCAGAATATGAGTCAAGAGGCAAACGAACTCTTGCTGAGCAGGTCAGCAAACGCAAAACTTGAATCGATGAACCACCCAAAGTAGAAGCAAAAAAGCCAAAATTCACTGAATTCAATATATCGTATAGATCTTCCTATATGGGTAGATTGCTGCGAGTATCAAGTGGAAAATCTTGCACCTTATTCAATCACCTCATTAGTACTTATCAACTGGCATATGTATAGTATGTCATTATTATGGCCACAGAAAACATTCTAGAAAATGATTATTAGGTTCAATAATACCATAGCTGCACATGTCCGCCTGGATGGCTAGAAGTTACAAGAGAGGATCAAGAGGGCGTCTCCTGGCTAATGGGTGCGTATAATACCCTACAGCTCTAGGAGAGCGTCTCCCTGAACTATATAGCAGGAGACCTTCTTCCCGAGCCACATATTTGTGTTGCTGAACTACCTGACAAAGATAGTCCGCTTCGTTCAGAAATTGGATTCAGTGGGAATGTGGTGGGTCCTACCTACACCTATCTAGTGCTGAAGTTATTATATGTAAGCGTGTTGGGTAAATTCACCTCCTGAAGAGGAGCTAGTACTCCAAAATCGTTCTATCTTTGTCATCTCAATCAAATGGAATTGATTTTTGCTAGTCATTTACAATGAATCTTAAGATATTGGACAAAAGTCTGATGATTCTTCAATTAGATATAGGATTCTGCCTTAGGTTTCTGATCTTTTCCAAATGAGACCTTATAAAAAAGACAGTGGCGCCCTTATTGTATCCTGATTTTATTTAAAAGAATCGCAGTAATCAATCCACTCCCATATGCCGCCGATGAACAGCTGCCGGAGCTACTTTGCCATGTTTTTTTCTTTTGTAAAAGGACAAAACGGGGAAAAGGAGTAACAATGCCTGGGTTTTTGTGGCATTGAATCGATACTGGTTACTTTCACCCCAATTCGTAATTACTTCTAGATCCTAATCAACATATGCAACCTCCTGCTGCCGGTGAAGATATGCATCCGCTGCCGATGTCCTGGAATCCAAATGAAATGACGAAACAACTGTGATACATCATACTAGCATGTAGAACAACTAGATTGGTGTCTTTTATCAGAGTGTTATTTCTAACTAACTAACTTCTTCAAAAATTTCTTATCAATTTCGAATTACTTTCACATCCATTTCTTGAATTCTGCCCAAGTCGTGTAGAAGAAAATGAAAGTTCTATTCCATTCATTTTATATAGCTTGTAATCACTCAGTGCAAATTGTCAACGGCATCGAAAAAACATTTGTTACAATCTGTTTTCCGTCAATCCTACGCCGCCCCCCTTCATGAACGACAACCCTCAGAAGTCGAAACGTGTGCGTTATTGATAGTGACAAGAGCGCTTCAAGTTTATTTCTGCAGTTCTTGTGCATTTTCATTAGAATAACCTAACTTTCATTTACGTTTCTCTAGAAGATATGTGATACTTACGACGCTAAAGGGGCTCGCATGTCAGTTCCTAGTCGAGCATACATCAAGCATGCTATTCCATTTTGTCTATCTGCAGAAAATCCCAAAATGTTGATTAGTCGAACTAGAGATGGAGGAAGAAGGGAAATCCCGAGTTGAAACAAACCATAACCAAAGGAAACAGCTCCCATCAAACGAATTATCATTTCTTTCTCTATCTTCTGATTCTCTCTTCAATAAAATGAGCGCTGTTAGTTCCAGTTAACATTTCAGTAGTTCAGAAAATACTCACATGTAATTTTGCGAAGAAAATGAGTAGGAAAAACTGTATGAAGATAAAGAAATAGGTAAATTAGTGAACTGGTTGCCCCAAGATTTCTCTGTTGTACGATTTGAGAGAGCACTATTAACCGACATGGATTTTTTGAGGAAATTTAACCCGAATCTTGTACTCTTTTTAGAACTATCAGTTAAATTCTTGGAGGAACCGTTGTGTAAATTGGAGGGACTGTAAAGGATGGCAGATTTAGAAACTGGAATTGGTTTTTTGATGTACCCGTTTGACGAAGAATCGGGAACTTCCCAATCTGGAGAAGTTGAATTTTCGGTTTCTGATTGTTCTTCGACTGAGGTTAATAGAGTAACAGTTGAATCTGAAAACAAAAAAATATTGGTCAATTTCTAACTGAGATATGAAATATCTATCGATATCTGTAAATTCTCGTGAAGATGATAGTTCTGATATTTTTATTTTCCATCATATTTCTTCAGGTACATATTTCGTGTTTCAATAAGTTCAATAAGGAATTCCCAATAGCTGATGCTATCAACTTTAAATGAAATTATTTCGTACACATGAACTTGTATTATGAAACGAATTATTTGTTACACTTGAGAATGGTGTAAAAACCGAAACCTTGGTCGTATTAATATCAATACATTGAGTAAGTGGAAATTAGACAAAGTATTTTATTCCTATATCTAAATGAAGATGAATTTCTACAAAATAAATAAGTCATCAATATCACAAATCTGATGATTCTGCTTCAGCGTGACATCAGCCGAGTTCATTGTTGTTTTTTCGTTGGTTATCTGCCACACGTATCTACAAAATGGCAGGTTTCACATGAGAGACAAGTGTACATCAGCATTTCATCGACATTTTACTATTATGTCACTCCTCGGAGAACCTGAAATCTTCAACTATTCACAAATTCCCTTGTCTCGTCATTCCATTTGGATTCCAGGACATCGGCTAAGGAGGCACATCTTCACCGGCAGCAGGAGGTTGCATATCTTAGCGAGAGTCTAGAAGTGATTTCGAATTGGGGTGAATGTAACCAATGCCACAAAAACTCAGGCATCAGTTTTTTTCGATGAGTTTGTTGGGGGTTAAAATGGACACCAATATGTCTTGGCACAATTATGTTGCTGCAATTGCAAAATCTGCTTCTCAAAAGCTTGGAACCAAAAAACTGTACACACCTCAGCAACTTTTGATGCATAATAAAGCTCAGATGAGACCTTCTTTGGAGTATTGTTCTCATGTCTTGAGAACGTTTTTCCAAATGGACTCAGTCTTCAGCGATTCAAAAAATCCATCATTAACAAACAATAACTCGATTGCAACTAGGGTAGTCTAGTTGTGAAACTCCAGACATCACCAGAAGATAGCAAATGATACCTTTCCGAAACGTTCTGAAAATAATCCTTAGGAGAATGAAAAACAGAATACGGAGCGAAACCCGAGCGTGTCAATTATTATTAATGATACTCAACAAAATATAAGACATAATAAGGTAATTTCTGAAAATAAATATTTCTGAACGACGTGTTTTGTGGATTAGCTTGATTCGCTCTGTAATTTTTTTAATGTCTAATATATTTGAATGTTCACTCTGTACGTACATTGTACTCTCTCCAAAATAATCGATTGTTTTTCAATGAATGTCCATGTATGTAATTACCTTTTTTTATAACATCTATTGTAAGGCTATCGCAATTGGGTAAGGCATTCCAAAGGTATAACATTTCGAAAATGAGCAATTTCCAGAAGATCACTTTTTTCTTTTCTGCCAATTCTAAATCAGAAGGACAGAATTTGTATCGTTTTGTCAAAAACTGGTCTAGTGGTGTTCCCTTCAAAATTCCCACACCGAATGCTTTGAAATCTTCAAAAATACTGCTTCTAAAAAAATTTTCAGAGGCACCTGAAAAAATAAATTTCAAATAGATTTTTGATTGCAACGAAATCATGAACCACTCCAAGAATATATCCTTAACAATGAAGTCGAACTTAAATAGTTTTCGGAAAACATTGAGAATGACGATAAAATTGTTATACCCAACACCCTTCACACCTATTGCCTTCAGAAATATATCTACTGAATTATTGAGGAAATATAATAATGATATAATGCATTCCAATCCCGATACATAATCTCGCGCAATTGATGTTTTGACAGTATACATGAATCCTCAGATATAGATATAGTATACCATACTAAACATAGTAGGTATACCATATTATAGTACCAAATTTAGTGGAAGTGACAGCAAATTTTCTCCTATTTATAAAAATGGCAGGAAAAAGTGAAATAAATAATCATCGACCTCCATTTTCCGATTTTTCCACGAATTTTGTGAATATTGTACATTCAATTTATAAGTTATTTAGGGAGAAATTATCTATGATGGTCACACCTCTTCAGGGCCTTTATTAAAACAGGCGTTGACTATTTCGGACCTTTAGAAGTATCAGTGAAGAGGAGCCGAGAAAAAAAGATATGGTATTATTTTCACCTGTATGGTCACTCGAGTTATTCATCTTGAAATAGCACATGATTTGAGTACGAATTCATTTATCAATGTACTTCGTCAGTTTGGATGTCGGAGAGGATTTCCTGAGGAATTATATAGTGATAATGGAAAAAACTTTATAGGAGCTGAAAAGGAAATATCTCAAGAACTGAAGAAGTTGAACCAGGATGAAATACTACGATTTTGTGCAATGAAAAAAATTAAATGGGTTTTCAATCCTCCTCTAGCANGTATATAAGGAAGAGTGACAAATCTGCAACCTTTCTTCGATTTTCCAGACTATCAAGTTTGCAAGTGATATTTGCGTCTCCAATCTAACTGGCTCTTTTCTGGATGGAATCCAGCTTCTGGGTATGCTTAGGGGCTAAGCTCCAAACATGAGAACAATTCTCCAAAGAAGGTCTGATCTGAGCTTTATAAAGCATTAAAAGTTGCAGAGGTCTGTACAGTTTTCTGATTCGGTACAGTGTTACAATATTTTGAGAGAATATTTTGAGCACTGTTCCGAACCAGAAAACTGTACACACTTCAGCAACTTTTAATGCTCTATAAAGCTCAAATCAGACCTTCTTTGGAGTATTGTTCCCATGTATGTTGCTCCGCCCCTAAGCTTAACCTGAAACTACAGGATTCCATCCAAAAAAGAGCCATCCGCGTAATTGGAGACGCGAACATCACTTGTAACCTTGATAGTCTGGAACATCGAAAAAAAGTTGGAGATTTGTCTCTCTTCTGTGGACACTTTCACGTGAAGTGTTCAAATGACATTTGATTCCGACAAGAGCAGTACATATCAGAAATACATGTCGGACTGTGGCTGCTCATCGTTTTGAAGTTCAACTCAGTACCCCTCCAACGTCACTGTTTAAGAACTCTTCCATTTGAAAAACTGCGTACATGTGGAATATACTTCCTGAGAACGTTTTTCCTTATGGATTTAATCTCCAGCGATTCAAATTCAATGTGAATCGCAACTTTCGCTTAGGTACCGCTCCTAGAGCGCCTTAAGGATCTTCCTGTAGTGCTTGTGTGTTGTCCTCAATTAAAAAAAACTAGAAATAATGAGTTACGTTGAACGAAACAGCAAATCAGATGATAAAGACGACCCATTACCTGCACATATCCCAGCCACGTAGCAATAAAAAGCTCGAGACCATCTACTGGAGGATTTCAAATAGAGGAAAGTGTCCGTAGCAGCTTTGTAATTCAATCTTATCAAATGACACCACCCGATCTCGTGCATACATAACACCTTGAGTTCTCTTTGGTTCGAATTGTCAACTGCTTTTTGGTAAGCCATCAGAGCACCTTCCATATCAGACTAAAAATTATCACATAAAATGAGTCTCGTGATTCTCAATCTCCGTTTCTTACATTCAGTCTGCAGACCCTTCCTCTGAAGAACAAAAATAGAGGGGACCGGTCGAATTCGCTTTCAGATTCTTTCAGAAGGTATGCAGATGCGTCAACTCCTGCTGTCACGTTCGTGCCGTCTATCCCGTAAAACGGTCTGACGATTGTGTGATACCACAGTAGTGATAACCTGAAACATGCGGTTCAATTATAAACACAGTCTAATAAATAGAGCGGTGTCCGGTATTTCTGAATTTTTGATATTTTGTCTGGGATAGTTGGTATATATCTGGAATGCAAAATGCGCAATTCTTTCTCTGCTCGACGCCATTTTGGAAAACACCGAAAACTTTTATGATGCACTGTTTGGAACCTTTGGTGTAGTAATGAATATTACTGGAGTTTTTTCCCAACACCAAATCGTTATTTTAAATCACCAGAATTACAAGACTCTTCCCGATGCGTGTTTCACCAACCAAGTTGNATTCCTTAGCCAAATCCTAGGAAAATACTTCGACTTTTCTTTGGTTTCCATTTCGAATCTGGGACAAGGGGTTTCTCATGGCTGTTCCTTCCTATTGTTCATGAAAGCAACCTCCTACTTGGAACCGATTTTGTTTCATACAAAAATTAGTAAGAGAAACGAATTCATCGATTTCAATATTATTGAAATTATTTTCCTCCAGTAATTCCCTGAGGTATTGCAAGGTCTGTGGAATTGGGACACTATGAAATGAGGAACTAACATCAAAAGAAACCAAAATCTCACCTTCTTGTAGAACCACGTTTTTTGTTTGTTGTATGAACTCTAAAGAGTTTTTTATACTAAAACTTGGTTCCGCAATAGACAAGGTTTCAAATTCCTTAGTGAGCCACTTTGCTATTTGGTAGGTAGGAGCTCCAATAGCTGACACGATGGGGACAGACGAAAAGATCTATTAAAGTAAGATATAAGGAACACATAGCACACTTTAAATATGGAAGACCTGAAAAATCAACAGTCACCCATCATATTTTGCAACAAAACCATTCCATAGACTTCAGTTCATTAAGATTAGTTAAACAAGTTAACAACAACAGGCAACTAGATGCCTATAAGTGAACACAATTATATTATGAATAACGATGATTGACCTATACCAAAGAGCATACTATATAGCTTGTTGAAATAAAATAATATCGTTGGGTTTACTGATTACTACATAAGGACACATTGCAAAAATAAATTTGGATAGGCAATATTGTGAAATTAATTTTTATATAGCTGAAAATTGTTTTATATAAACATGTATTGTAAAAAATTGCCGTTACTTGATGCAAATCCACAGTAATTTATCAAACTACACCGGAAACGATTTGATTTTCGTGAAGATCAAATCGTTTCCATGTAATTTGAGAAACAATTAATCAATGCGAGCAGTTGACATTGTGTTGGTAATCATGCCCTAAAGAAAATAACGCCGGCCGCCACTGGTAGTCATAAGCCAACTGACGTAACTAAGAGCACGCGAATGTACGATTTTCGCCGCCGCTCTAGATGTAGCGAGAATAATGCTACCGACTTCAATGGTATTCCGGCGAATTTTCTACCACATCCGATTACGATATATAAAAGCTAGCCACGACCATATCGACACACTCAAGTGGAAGTTACAGGTGGTTTGCGAAGCGACCTAGCAAAGCTATAGACATTTGAATAATAATTGAAGTTTTAGTGTGTTTGTTGTATTTAAAGTGAAATAAAGTTAATCTGATTATTGTTCAGTGTAGTCAATTATTGGTCAACTCACGGNTCGATATTCATAGTTTTTATGATGAATTGTTAGTGTTTTCTAAATTAAATTTATTCTAGATTCAAAAAATTGAATTGCTTTCTATAATCAAAGAAATTTTTAAAAAAATGGTGAAATATGAAATGTTTTTAAAATGGCGAAAGAGTCAAACGTGGATGCTACTAACGTTTCTGTAAAATGGCGAAGGCATTTGTTCAATAACAAAACACAAGCACTGTAGAAAAATCCTTAAGGCGCTCTAAAAGCGGTGCCTGCACGAAAGTAGTGATTTACATTGGATTTGAATCGCTGGAGAATAAATCCATTTGGAAAAATGTTCTCAGTAAGTTTATTCCACATAAACGCAGTCCTCCAAATGAAAGAGTTCTTGAACAGTGAAGTTCGAGGTGTACTGAGTTGAACATCAAATCGATGAGCAGCCACAGTCCGTCTCGTATTTTTGATATGTACCGCTCTTGGTGGAATCAAATGTGCCAAGTCACTTGAACGCTTTCCGTGAAAGTATCTATAGAAGAGAGACAAATCTTCAACCTTACTTCGATATTCTAGACTATCAAGGTTGCAAGTGATGTTCGCGTCTCCAATCAGGCGGATGGCTCTTTTCTGGATGGAATCCAGCAGCTTCAGGGTTTGCTTAGGGACGGAGCTCCATACATGAAAACAATACTCCAAAGAAGATCTGATCTGAGCTTTATAAAGCATCAAAAGTTGCTGAGGTGTGTACAGTTTTCTGGTTCTGAACAGTGTTCCAAGCTTTTGAGAAGCAGCCTTTGCAATTCCAGCGACATGATTGTGCCAAGACATATTGGTGTCCATTTTAACACCCAACAAACTCATCAAAGCAGAAAGTGGAAATGTCTGTCCTGACATTATTATATCCGGTTCGGAGATGCCTGGGTTACTTTCACCCAATTCGTAATTACTAGCATGTAGAACAACTGGATTGGTGTCTTTTATCAGATAGTCATTTCTAACTAACTAACTTCTTCGAAAATTTCTTATCAATTTCGAATTACTTTCACATTCATTTCTTGAAGTCTGCCCAAGTCGTGTAGAAGAAAATGAAAGTTCTATTCCATTCAATTCATATAGCTTGTAATCACTCAGTGCAAATTGTCAACGGCATTGAAAAAACATTTGTTACAATCTGTTTTCTGTCAATCCTACGCCGCCCCCCTTCATGAACGACAACCCTCAGAAGTCGAAACGTGTGCGTTTTGATAGTGACAAGAGCGCTTCAAGTTTATTTCTGCAGTTCTCGTGCATTTTCATAAGAATAACCTAACTTTCATTTACGTTTCTCTAGAAGATATGTGATACTTACGACGCTAAAGGAGCTCGCATGTCAGTTCCTAGTCGAGCATACATCAAGCATGCTATTCCATTTTGTCTATCTGCAGAAAATCCCAAAATGTTGATTAGTCGAACTAGTTTGTTTTTTCGTTGGTTATCTGCCACACGTATCTACAAAATGGCAGGTTTCACATGAGAGACAAGTGTACATCAGCATTTCATCGACATTTTACTGTTATGTCACTTCTCGGAGAACCTGAAATCTTCAACTCTCCACAAATTCCCTTGTCTCGTCATTCCATTTGGATTTCAGGACATCGGCTACGGAGGCACATCTTCACCGACAGCAGGAGGTTGCATATCTTAGTGAGAGTCTAGAAGTGATTTCGAATTGGGGTAAATGTAACCAATGCCACAAAAACCCAGGCATCGGTTTTCTTCGATGAGTTTGTTGGGGGTTAAAATAGACACCAATATGTCTTGGCACAATTATGTTGCTGGAATTGCAAAAGCTGCTTCTCAAAAGCTTGGAACCAAAAAACTGTACACACCTCAGCAACTTTTGATGCATAATAAAGCTCAGATGAGACCTTCTTGGGAGTATTGTTCCCATGTCTTGAGAACGTTTTTCCAAATGGACTCAGTCTTCAGCGATTCAAATCCGATGTGAATCGCTACTTTTGCACAAGCACCGCTTTGAGAGCGCCTTAAGGATTTTCCTGTAGTGCTTATGTTTTGTACTTAAAAAAATACATCAAACAAGAACTCAATTGCAACTAGGGTAGTCTAGTTGTGAAACTCCAGACATCACCAGAATATAGCAAATGATACCTTGCCGAAACGTTCTGAAAATAATCCTTATGAGTGCTCTCATCACAGTTGGAATTCAGCTCGCGTCACAGCTGTAACCTGGCTCCCGCCACGGATTTACCATATTTGGAAGAAACATTCACGAAATCCAATTTGTGTACATCATTCACAATGATTTCTGCTTTCCTTTTCATTTTTGGTCTAAATTCCGAGTTCGGTCAGAATTTCTTCATAAAAACTGAGACTTTATTCTCATTCAAGTGAAGATTGATGAGTAAAGACGATATTTGTTTTCAATCATTATCATTTTTTTGATGGAATAGCATTTACGGTTTTTTGCAAAAACTGGAATAGTTTTATATGGATTATTTGAGATAACGTCTGAGTTCAGAATTGCAATAATATCATAAACAGTAAGGCCGTTTTCTCATCCAAGTGAAGAAAAAAGAATTGATTCAGATGTACCACAGAAAATACAACGCGATTCATGCATAAGCCAACAATTCAATGCCACAAT